AAGAGGAAGGAATATTATCAGTGGAGGTATAAAAACCCTGGGTCTTGTTCCCCGTTTCCTTATTACAGAAGGTACAAGTTATGCCACAGAGGTGTAAGTGATAAAATAGTTTACACCAGAGAGGATACCATAGAATTAATTCTCCCAGGTAATAGTACCCCTCACAACCTTTCATCTCCACTGCAAGCATAGGTCACATCTCTCACATAAATGTATATTAAGACCTTAAAGTTAAAGCCCCATTAAAAACCAAACCAAAAAAAACCAAACAAACAAACAAAACAAAACTGCTTGAAAAGATAATGTGAAATAAGTAAAACATGAGAGATGTCTAGCCTTACGATTTCTAAGGTATTACTGGGTGTCAATGAGCTGTTACATTGATAGCAACAGTAGAAAATCCTACACAGGGAGGTTACTCACTCAGAGAGTTTACAGGTTCAGGACCACACAAATTCCAATAGCATGAATAGCAGCTCAAGCCCAAGTAGGAAGCTGTTAAAATTACTAGCTTTTAAACTCACCACAAAGCCCTTGTGTCCCTGAAGAAAAGCTTTTTGAATTAAGTTTAAGAATAAATTCATTGTTTCTTGGAGTAAATGTGAGATTATGTCCAAGATGGGAGAACTTGATTTCATGCATTATTGCTCCATAGACATTGACTTCAAACAAACTGCTGGCATAGGGAATATGAACCCTTTCATCATTAACAGCCACCTGTTTTCAAAAAAGCAAGATCATCACATCAGTTCTAGCAAACAGTTAAAATCAATCCAATCTTACAGTTGAAACACATTTTGACTGCAACCTGGTCTAGTGGAAGGTGTCCCTGCCCATGGCAAGGGGGTTGGAAACAGATGATCTTTAAGGTCCCTTCCAAACCTTCCCTTTCTGTGATTCTGTGACTTCACAGGTACTTGAAGACCCAGATGAATCTGGACATAAGAATCAATTTTGCAAGCTGAAACTTTCTATTGAGTCTAAATGCAGAGAGATAACGGACTTTCATTCTATGTATTATATGAACAATTCTTTCGACATTTTTCCATATGAGTGCATTCCTTCAACACCACATACATATAGACTAACAATCCAATGCCATGAAGTAAAAATGCTGCCTACAGACTCTGATTATCCATAAACCTCAGTGAAAGTAAGGGCTGTCCCATCACCGTGCAAAACTGGGTGCAGGTGTTTTGGTCCATCCTATTTTGCTACATGAGTCAGAAGAGATCACCTTTGCAGGCTAGCCAACTCCTCTATGTCTGAGGAACCTAGAGGTTGAAAAATGTGTCACAGTGAATTTGAATACTTCTCTGCCTATAAAACAGGTGTAATGCATAATAAGCTGGCCTTTCTTCTAATGCTGACGTACATTTGCACACAAGATAAGAACCGACTCCCTATCTCTTCAACTAGCCAGTCATGCACAGCTTTGTGAAGAATAGACTGCTCTCCCAAACACCAAATGACAACGTTGTATAAAGGACCTCTGCCAAAAGAGGAGAACCAAAGTGCAGTATATCCTGTCTATAATCCCTGCCTTTCTGGCAGAAGCGTCAGGGAAACATTGCCAAATCCCATGTTCCTGACATTGTTACACCAGCACAACAGGGAGAGAGAGAGACAAGAGGAGAAACGTGTCTGGCTCACTATGTCAACATAGATTGCATCATGAAATTGAAACGAGGTAGCCTAAGAATAGGCTGCAAGGGGAACAGAAACCAGATAAAGGGGACAAATTTGTCCTCGTAACCTGAATTCTATAGCACGAGCAGACAATACACAGATCACTTAATTGCATTTAGCTTACTGCCATGTCACTGAAGAGCTGAACAGATACACCACGATGTTTCACTTCAATGGAGTCCATACAGTTCATCTTTGGTGTTGCTCTGCATGGTCCTTCATGGAGGAGAACTTCAACATCGTGTTCCGTGTCTCGAAACAAAGTGTAGGAGCAATTGCCGGTCAGCTTAAAATTCAGCCCATCAAAAGTGACAATATGTCGAGATGAACTTCCTATACAGATACCTGTAAATCAATGGAAAAAAAAAAAAAAAAAAAAAAAAAAACAAAAAAAAATTCCTTTTTCTCAAAATCAATGGAAAAAAAAAAAAAAAAAAAAAAAGACACATAGGAATTCACTTTTGTCCAAATTAGAGTATTTCTTCACAGTCATTATGGGCATGTGGAACCAATTAATGGAGAAAGTTAGAAAGGAAATTAATTGCAAATGCTGCAGCAAATCTTCTACAAGAAACTTTGGTAAATACTACATCATATGGTTTTTTTGAAGTATCTTTGGAGCAATTAGTATTACAAAGGATTTGGATAAACTAATAGAAAATCCCTTTGCATTAAATTTACTCACATTGAATATGATTAATTAAAAATTTTTATAAGAAAAATAAAAGCGGGGAAAAACCCTTCCCTGTTTGTAGAAAGACTGTAACATACTTTTTTTAACTTTTGCATTACATTTTTATTGTGTAAAATTGCATTTTATTCTGTACCGTATTACATTTTAAAGCAAATAACACTATTTCATTCTTATCAAACACGTCACAAGTCAATATCAGGGGACAGATTTGTTTTGTTTTTTTCAGATGGGAAACGGGAAAAGGGCAGAGAAATAGTGTGCACAGGATAAACCAATGGTCAACTGACAGCTCAGTGTCCTTGTCATTAGATTATAAACACTTCCTTGTCTTCATACGCTGGAAAACAAGGAAGGTCAAAATCTCACAAGCACCAAAACAAAACCTGAGCAAAGGGATGCTTCTGATTCACGTGTTTTCAAATATTTTGCTTAAAGGTAGCAAGGACAATCAAACCCCTGTCAGCTAAACATGTAGGAAGAAAATTCTTATTGTTAATAATTCAGCTACTTGGCTTCTAATTCAGATTTGAGAATAATCTGTTTCCCATTCACTGATCTTCAAACTTAATTACCCAGGAAAAACAGCAAACAGCAACTTGTGCTTCAACAAAAAATAAAGACTATCTTGTGTACTGGCAGGCACTGAATTGTCAGGAGGTATACCCCTTTGGAGCATTGGAGCATCTTCAGATATTTTACTGTACTTATAAAGTTCATGTGTAAACAACAATAAAACAAGTTATCAATAAAACAATGTTTCTCAACCTTTTTTTTATTCATGGACATCTAAAAAATCTCTAAGGATAATGGGAATCCTTTTAAATTTCTCATAGGTATTCTGTAGCACAAAATGCACTAACTCAATCCATTTAAATGTAGTCAGTCCAAAACCAACCAACACCCATGAATCACACGTTGCAAATCATGTTGCTATAAAATTTGTAACTAGTTCAGCAAGCAAGCACCTTTATGGTATAACTCCAGATCTATTCTCTGAACGACATAATGACTTATACAACATAAGAACACTTTTTCAAGTACTTCTTTGCAAAAGCATGTCATATCATCTGCACTGTCAAGCTCACTTGAAAGTGTGCTTTAGCTCTCTAAATAGCTCAATACTACTTTGCTGAATCACGAGAGCCAATTAAGCATGCACTGCCCTGCTCCTGCAGCACAGATTGCCTAACTAGCCTCCATTCACAACAACAAAGAGATGTTGAAGCACACTGAGCTTCTACTATGCACCAGCTTTGCTATGCCCATTTCTAAAGTTTACTGACTGCTGTGAGTTTCAGCTTTGAGTTCAGCGCATATGGTATCAGAATCAGCCTTCCTGGCTGCTACAGATACTGCTTTAGTTGACCCAGCATCACCCTGGTTTTGCTGAGTAGTCATTGAAACAAGGGTACTTTGCCCGTGGGTTTTTGATCAGCTGGCTGGAGTTGGGTTTTTTTTCCTCCTCTTATAACATATGAAAACTTACCACTTTTCCCTTACAACCTGTAGCACCTTGGGAAAAAAAAAGTTAAATTTTGCATATCATGGCTCACTAAATTCATAAAGAACTAAATAAGTGTTATCTCACGCTAAACAGCAGCAATATGAAGTCAGATAGAGGTCTTTTCATGACAATGCACGAATGGTAATTTTTCATTTCACCCTTTCAGAAATCCTATATGAAGACATGTTTTGCGAAATGTATGCCAAAATTAATGCCAAAAGTAATCCTTCAGTGTATTTAGGATTGGGAAAATTATTCCTGATGCACTTTTTACAAGTAGATACAACTAAGAGTATCTTTGAAACATTATAAAATATTTATGTGATTCAATTAATAAATATTTCTACCGTTTTGATATATTTATATTTAAAGTGTTTGGACAATCAAATGTGCTTTTAGAAAATGCTAAAAGTTGGGATGTTAAAATTTTGTATGTCTAACAGTTCAGGGACTAAAATCTAGCTACCCAGCTTAGGTATTTCAAGCAGTGCCTTGAAGAATTTTTTCTTAAAACAGCCAGTTCAGCAAAGACCATTTTAAATTGAAATGGTACAGTACAAAGAGAAGATATATATAGGGTTCTGATTTACTTTAAAAAGTAACTATATGACTTCAAATGTAAGCCAAATTTTCAGAATTATATTGGGGAGTACAGTCCTCTAAGCTTCATCAAAGCCAAAGAGATTCAGGCTCTGAACAGGATTTAAACATTACTGAAAATAACACCCCCAGGTTCCTGTTTTGGAGATTTCTGCATATTTTAGCTGTAATAGCATGCATAATTGGACTGTTGTGTAGCTGCAGGCTTTAAGATTTATTTGATCTGATCGTTTGGACTTTTAATTCAAAATAAACAACTATTTTTTTTGTGCAAATTGAGCATATGACTACAGCATGTTTGACACCAAGAGGAGGTGAATCTCACTCTCCAAACCTAGTCTGAAGTGTACCAAAAGACCTAGCGTCTGAGCCTACCCCTTGGTGCCCCACGAAGTGTTCTTCCCGGTGATGGCTGTGGAGCGAGGTGCTGTGCCACACCGCATGCCGCCAGGCACCACTGCCTTCCTTATCCCACACTGTCACCATTTCACTGTTGTCAGAGCATCTGTTCAGGCACTGAGGCAATCTGGAGGCTCCAGCTCATCTTTTGGTTTGAAATCATCATTCTTTCTCCCTCAAGTCTTCCCTTCACATATGTGGGATTTTCCTACAGAATCTCTCTTTTTAATAAACTGATCACCAGCCTCACCCTGTAAATGCGAGTAGGTGCACTTAATTTCTTTTCCTGTCATCTCAGCCAAGGCACTAAACATACAGTGCTCACCATTTCTGCTCAAATACCCAGTGTGAAGTTTTATGGAGGCAGGGAGAATTTGCTGTTGTTGTTTCTTTAATACACACGAGTCATTGAGGTCAGGCCAAACCCTCAAGCCTAGAGATGGACGAAGAATATATCACTTGCTTACAGCATGCCAAGATAAATTTATATGTTCTTCCATGCATCCTCCTTCCTCATTCACACAGCTTTGGAAATTGAGTGTGAGATTCTCTGACAAAGCAACGTAGCTACGCTAACATGAAAAATAAGCTCACAGTGGCCCTGCACTTGTAAATAGCATCACACCTTGCAGGCATCAGTGAGACACTAACACACCTAGCTGTTTACTTAGCCAGTGTACAGCATTAATTCCTCCCACCTCAGTCATCTTTGACTAAGAAGCTCCATTCAGCATTACAGTTGTGATAAATATTTCAAGTGATGGGGAGGGGAGGCAGACATTCAAAGATAGATACTCACATGGACACATCCATCGGCAGCCACAAGTTTCTTCAATCTTAACAGCAGGAAGATTGCTGTGACATACCGGTTTTGGCATCCTCTCACAGTTAATTTGGTGACTCTCCAGAACTGTGTAATCTCCTGGAAAGCATGTCACAGTGTGGCACTGATCTGGCAACATCCATTTGTCACCAGGCTAGATAGGGAGACAACAGATATTTAACAATTGAAAGGAACATGGGTGGAGGGGAGAAAAAATGTGAAACTTGGCTGCAGCCACACTCCTACAGCTAGCAAGTGAAGTGACACTGACAGCAGTGCTGCTCAAATTAGCCTTGGATAATTAAATAATAGAATGCAGCGTATTAAGGACTTTGTGAGGATGAGAAAGTTTAAATTAGCAACACTGTGAGAAATAGACTGAAATTCCAAGCAAAAGATAATAGTCTAGAATAGATGTTTTGTTGGAGCAGAATGAAGTATCTGGTACTCCATCTATTGGTAACTTAGCCATGCACGGATGCATGCACGGATAGCATAGTCAATAAAGAATTCCCCTTAGCTTTTCTTTAAATGTCAAAGTCATTAGTTTTCATAAGCCATAGAATTATTTTAGAAAGAGCTCTGAGCACAGATGTTCATGGCACAGCAAATTTTTCCAAGCTAGAAAGGCGTGGAATACTCTAGTTATTTTATGCACAACCACAGAACTTTAAAACAGTTCCTCCCTTCCTGAAGGGAAATTGTTCCTTTACCAGATTAATGTTATTAGATATACATAATGGTTTTGTAAAATTAAAAGTAAAATATAAAATATATTCTCATTTTCTAAAGGACAGTCGACATTTTAAGACAACAGGATTGCATACTACTAAATGACAGAGAAATAGATGTGGTCACAGTCTGTAATATCTCAAGATTCATATCTGCAAAAAAGCTGAGCTCTCTGGCCCTAATCCCACAGAGCTCTAAAGTCCATAAATGGGTTCAATGAATTTCAAAACAGTGTTTATCCCCGAAGTCTGCATTTATCCCCAACATCCCCAAATGTGGGAAACAGCCCTTTCCAGAGGTGAGTCCAGAAGCATTAGTAACAAGTGAGACAGTGGTTCTATGAACTGGATAACACGTATTGATATTCACAAGCAGAAACGTGTGGGGAAGAAAAGATGATTGGCATCGGGCAGGGTTATCTCCCATCCTCTCATTTTCATCTCACCCATCATTCCCATGAAAGAGAAGAGCAAAATGACAAAATATTTATGTAACCACAACGTATTCACAGGCTATTGTTGGCACTAGTGTGCCATCCAAGAATAGTGATGTAAAAGTACTGCTCTGTATCTCTGAGCTATGTGATACTGTCAAGTCTAAAAGAGAACTACCAGATTTGCAGCCACAAAAATTTACATATGAAATACAAATTAATTTGCTGCTTTAATTTATGAGCTACATGCCACTTTGTATGTTTCAGGAATGTGAGAAGGGAACTTGTCCTGAAATCAGCTTAATACTTTTCAGGCTTGTGAGCCTAGAGGAAGCTGCAAAAAAGTAACTTGAGGAGCTTTAAGTATGGAAAAAATATTTAGATAGGAAGAAACTGGTTTTTAATTACAGTTGTCTCGTCTTCAACTCATTGAAAGTGGAGCACCTGGAAGGGTACATATACAGCTGTGCAAGTCTGGCAAACGACCCTCTAGCTTCCACACATATTTAATTGTCTTTAGTTCACTCCTTAACAGGACATCTATTGGAAAACATCGAAGAACTGGACAAGAAAAGCAAAGCACAGCACATTAAAACAAAAATATCAATTGAATGATCCAAAGCCAAGAATCCCGGTGTCAAAGGAAAATGCAGGGACACTGAAGAAAAAGAAAGCCTAAATCCCAATTCATATTAAATCATAGGAGTAAGAATAGGACAGAAAGGAATGCAAAAGCAAAGGTTTCTAAATTGTGAAGGATAAGTTTGCCAGCACGCCAGAGGAAGCCTCAGACTTCCTCTCTAAGGGAGCACTGAACCTATAGACCCAGACTTGCACACTCTTCCTCTGACTGTACATCTGCAGAAGAGAGAGCTACGTACCTCAACCAGGTTCATCAGCTGCCACCTTTTAATTTAGTTACTGGATATGATAATTTAGCCACTGGATATGACAAGTACTAAAAACTTACATGGATTCAAAGAATGACTGAACAAGTTAATGGAAGAGAAAGCTATCGAGCACAGTGAAACACAAAAAGATGCCACTCACAGCTCAGGGAGTCCCTGAGTAACAAATTGTTCAAGGATAGGAAAGTTCAGGGAAGTATCATATATGCTTACTTACATTCTTCCCTGAATCTATTTTTGGCCACATAATACAGGAGGGTGTATGGATTTTTGGCCTGACCTAGCACATTTGCTCTCCTGCCCTTGTGCTACAGACCCTATCCACAAATCTTTTTTCAACAGTAATTTCCAGGGTAGATGTAATAACAATAAAAAAATGTAACAAGTCACATTGCTCTTGATATTAGCTAGGATTTAGGCTGAGTTTTTTGATCCTGAGAACTCTGATTTCCTTGCAAACTGTGAGATTAGTTCCCACAATCTCCAGGTGCATGACAGATATCCCTCTTAGGGAACTGAGCCTCCTGCAGTAACTGTGAGTAACACCTGAAATATTATGGATCCGATGTAAGAGCCTGTGTTTTCTGAATCAGGAAAGAGCCTTGATTCTTCATCCCTGGATGAGGGTAAGAGGCCGACGGTGCCACGTTACTGACCATGAGTCAGCAGAGGGATTCAGGGTGTGGGTGCTGAACACCAGAGGCAGAGCATTTTCATGGTGTCCTGCAGGCACCACAGGGTGCTCAACAGCCTGCTCCAAAAGGCAATGGCTACCATGTTGGCTGTGTCTTCTAAAACTTGGGTTTTTTCTGGCTGAGAGAAGAGGTAACAGAAAATCCCCTTAAAGACTACCATTTGAAAGTGTGGTTCATTTTCATATGGACTGGAGCCTGGCCTTTTTTCTTCCAAAAGTATTTTAGCCAGAACGGAAATTGTGCTTTAAGTTTAGCACCAAAAAAATGAAACCTGACATGTCTGAAATCCAAGTTTAGGCTTCCCAGCACTTATCTACATGTACCTGTGTCTGCTTCTAGAGCCCAGAGGTGTGGACACATGTAATTCACATTAAGAAACAACAAGAATCTAATTATCTTTTGTTTTAAATTAAGAAAGTTTTTCATGTTTAGGTTTTTTTTGTTGTTTTTTTCTTAATTACGTTGTCAACCTCAAAGCCACCAGATTATACTTAGGGTCTGATCTCGCTAAAGCCTTTCTGTGTTCAGACCAGCTGACCGAGGCCAACTGTGTAAGGCAGCTTTGATACATTTCCTGTGTCTAGAAAATTCATAAGCATTTCTTTATTAGCTACATCCTTCCTTACCATCATGTCTTCACAAGGGAAAAATCAAAGGAATATTTTTAATGCATCAGAAATTCAAGATATATCCTAGGGTAGAACTCGTAACTGACCCCTACTAGAAATGTGTAACAAGCTTATGCTAATATTTTTAAATGCATGAAGTATCATATGTACTCAAAAACCTTGGCATTTCACCTGCAATGAAGGAAAGGAACAATTTATAATACCTACATCATTATTTTCTTAAAGCAGATCACTTCTGAGAGATAAGACAGGTTTATTAAATTTCTGAGCATTTTCTCAGGATTAATAAAAGCTTTTCTGCAAACCAATGCTAAGAACTTTGATTTCATTACTTAAGAGATAGTTTTTGCTAGACAGATGACCATCACACAAGGTATTAGTATTTTTAGCAGAAGGAGATGGTCTGGACAATGACGTTGCCTCTGCCCTATACATGCATCTTTATTTTGGTCATGTCTAGCTTTCCCAGAAGTTCTTTCACAGGAGATGGAAATACATTTTTTTTCATCAGGGAAGACACACATTGTCACAAGTTTTGGCTCTGCACTGCTTTCAATAGCATTCAACACACTGCAAGATCAGGCGTCATTAGAAGAAGTCTCCTTTGTGTGCAAAGTTATCCATATCAGTTCAAAAGCCAACATTTTCCTCCTCCAAAATAATTCTTAATACTTAACATTGTCCAACACTTTTTATTTCAGATTATCTATTGAAGTTATCATGGTTCAGCTTGAATTTTGTAACTTGAAATACAAATGGATGACCCAGGCAATACACTTACATTCTTTTTGTTTCCTTCCTCATCTATACATCCTCTAACAGGGTCTGAAAGAGAAACAGACATCTTTTAGCCATCTCACTCCCTTCTCCAGCCTTTGAAGTGGTGGTCACCAAAATACAGATTGCTTACTTAAAAATGTGACTCAGGCTGTAAGAAGGGGGTTTTTTGTGTTAAAATGCGAGAATCCCTGTCTGAAGACTGCATACATTTGTCCAAAGTGTACAAGATTAAGTCAAAGAATGCATAAACTTTGTTCCTGTTAGCATTACCTGTCTTCTGCAACGATGTTGGTCCCAAAATACCCTGTGAGCAATAGGTAGGTTGCAATTCTACAGCACTCCTTGTACTGACACACAGCTCTGCCCAGATGATACTTAAAAGAAGATCATGGCTTTAGCTCTGAAGCAGGATCCTGCCTTACTTCTGAATCTTGTGATGAATTGAGAATATTTCTGGTAGTTAGCAGGTAATGAGAATTTACACACTCATGCACACATACTTTTATTAAATGCAGAAGGATAAATGCAGTGAGTAACCCCAATATAAGATTTGTTAACAACTAGTATAAGCATGAAAATAGCTGCAATAAGAATAGTCAAATTCAGTTTCATTACATTCAGCCATAACTGTGATGGGCAGTTTTTTATGCAATCAGTTAGATGGTCACAAGGCATCCATTGAATTGCAGTTTCCACGTTTATGTGCTCTTACACCACACCTGAAGATATATGGAAAGTAAAGTAGTACTACGGTATGACAATGTGATAAGCACGTATCTAAGAAATTAAAACACTGACTAGCAAACTCTTTATATAATTCTGTACTATGCTAGTTTATATACCCCATAAGCTTTGTCTTTTCCAGGACAAGTAATGTGTTTTGAAAGTATTTAGAAAATCTTTTAAACCTTTTTAACAGTATTATTTTTGATCCACTTCCATACATAAAGTAAGATTCCCTCTGTACAAGAAATCCAACTGTATGAGTCTGAAGGGGAAAATTATACTTTACAGATTGTAAGAAACTTAAATAAAAGAAAACAAAAACAAAACCAGAAACAAACAAACAAACAAACTAGAAGATATCTTACCATCAGCAAAAGGCAGAGCTAAATTTTTTCAAGTTTAGGTGTCTAACGTAAGACACCCACCATTCAAGTTTTTGAGCATATGCTTTGTGCTATTGGAAAAGCTTTCATAAAAATGAAAAATGCAAAGCTTTCACCTCTAGTACCAATAGTTTATAGCACAGGTTGCAGTAAGAAAACAGTTACTGGTTTCAGACTCCTTCTCCCCATCCTATATCTGGGACTAATATAAATTAGGGCAATAAAATCACGTATTTTACAGTGTGAGGAGAGGAGATGCATCTTTAAAGGCTTATTTTAAAAGAAAAGAAAGAAAATGGCAGCTGTTTAAGTCTAGAAAAATGGCAGCTGTTTGATGCTCTGGAGAGATTTTAAAATGCCAGAAGTGATCCCAGTGGAGACTGATCGGATATCTCTAAACTGGACTGTGCACGCTCTGCAGCTTCCTCATTCTTAGTGGTACTTGGCTCTGCAAAAAAGTCCACTTTTTTTAATGGAGACCTAACTTAGCCCTAGTAAAGCTGGTAAAACTCATGCAATGACTAACATGATGAGACAGTGGTTTGTGGAGAGGGCAAGTCGATTCTATTGTAATCGAAATAACAATAACAACATGAATAATAAATATCTATATACAGACAGACCAAGGACACAAAAGAAGCAAAATCCTTAAACTTTGCTTAAAAAGCAAGTTTACTTAAATTGGTGGCATTGGTATCTACAAATAAATGTTTCTTTAAAACATTTTACACCTTTTTTTTTTTTTTTTCTCTCCAGTGTTTGTTTTCCTGGAAAAGTTGATTCTTTCTTATTCTTTTTTTTTCTTACACTTTGGCTGAATTCTGTGTAGGCATGCACATAACGGTGCTTAGGTCTGTGCAGAAAAATATGTAATTTGAAGTATTTAATCACAGCTGACTTGTACCATTTCTGAAGCATGCCCCCATTCATTTATTACAACTTGAGCTTTCCTGGTGTCCTTCAGTTAATGACAAGCCCTGATTATTAATAAGATGATAGTTTGAAAGTTCAGGCCTAAGCAGTTTTTAAAATCTTGCTGAAAGTTTGTTAATTAGAATGGCAGTTGGCTACATGCTGAAAGGGCTCAGATTTTTACTCCTAAGTGATGGTGGTGATGATTGTTGGTGAAACACTAACAAGCGAGCCATTGGGCTTTCTCAAATCGAGGAAGATCATTCGGTTTTGGCATTTCAGATTTTATGTTTTGTTCCAGTTATGATGCTACAACTATATTGGACTTACCCATGCACACTTTTTTGATAAATTCACTATTCAATGTGATCATAGTGGATAAGTCTTCAAAATTCTGAAGCTTCATGATTCTGTTAGCAGCTGATGGCCCAGTCAAAGTCCTCAGTTGCTCTTCATCATATCTGTTCCCAACTCCAATTGGAAACAGGGATACCCCTAGAGAAACAGACAAAAGGGTCTAAAATGGGAAATGCACAGGAGAAGGAGGTCTTTGCTGTCCTATTTTTTTCAGTTGCCTCTTAAAAAAAAATGGGAAAAGTTTTTTTCCAACAGTTAATTTTCATGTTTTACTTGCATCACTCCCTCCAAGTAGGCTGAAGGCAATTAAGGGCAGAAATGGTGATGCCCTAATCACAGTGTTTGCAGAGATGAGCTCTATTAGTCCCAAGCACAATAAGATCATGCATGGTCAACAAAATGCAGCTGCAGACTTAGTGACAACATCTTCACTTTTTTTCAAATGTAAAAAAAATCTCAATATGTTGTTTTCTTTCTTCAGTTACATGGCAATTGGATTATTTTAAAGCCATTTAATTAAAAAAATAATAGTTGTTATTTAGCCCATGCTTTATTCAATAGCTCCCAAAGCAACATGCAAAGGAAGTCACTGTTCCTCAGCTGAACACCTGAGGAAGCTGAGGAACAGAGACTACAGCCAGAAAACTTGAAGAAACATCATGCAGCACACTAATACCAAAAGTATAGTTCTGTATGGGTCATTGCACAATCTGATCAAATCCCCTCTCTATTTATTATTATTAGTACAATGAACCTTCCAAGATTCACTGTACTGCAACAGTATTGAATCTATAACATTAGATCCCATTTCTACCATCCCTGTCTATTCCCAGGAACTGGGAAAATGAAATGCCACTAATTTGTGAAGGCTATAGAAGCTATTCAGCTTAAACTGCAGGTTGGTCCTGGATCTACCAGTGATTCATAGGCACCTCCATCAGGCAGGTTTTGCTCAAGCCTATTTGTTATCAGAACATTACGCGCAGCAAGTCCATATCAGTGAACTTACATGAACATGCCAGTGCCTTAATTTTTCATCCTTTATTCTAGTGCAACACTTAAAAAGCAACAACTCCGCTTTAAAATATTGACAGTGAAATGAGATTTACTGTTCATTCTTGCAGAAATTGCAGCAGCCTCCACAGCATCTTCTGATCTCCTTGACACGATGACTATTGCGACCTTGGATGCGCTGGGCCTCCCTCCGTGGGATTCTGACATTGAGTTCTGAACTACAAAATCAATGGCTTTTCCTAAGAAGAAACGAAGAGATAAATGAAAGATATGATAGGAAACACATAGAAGGCTATAAAACTAAATTTTACTTTATATTAGTAGGTTATACAGTAGTGGAAAATACTTCTTCTTAAAGGACTTTTAGTGTCTGCTTTATTGCTGCCACATGAAAGATCGCAGCTATTGAACACCTACCATTACTATTAACACCTCCCAACGCAGGAGGACCATCCTTAGCTCCCCAGTCTCTGAAATAATGGGAATTTTACTACCCTTCCTTAGCCACGAGGTTAAAGTTATGCTCCTCACTTTACTAGTTACCTCTTCTGGTAGTATTACCATTGCGTTACACAAAAGGAAAGAAGATATTGTAGAACAGTGCACCTATTTCCCGATTGCAGAACAACAGTGACATCCAGTGGCTATCGGAGCTACAATGTCACACCACTCTAAATTGTACATACAGGTTGCTCAGCACCCAGAGATCTAGTCCTTCCCTAATTCACTCAGCTTTTGATACGGGTGTGAAAAGTGTATCTTGCCTTCCACTAGCTACCTCTCTGAACTCTAGACTCAGAGTAACCCATAACCTAACTGGGCAATCCATATTTAAAACACACACACACACACACAAAGACCAAAACAACAAACAAAACCCACAAAACACACTAAAAAAATTCTACCTTAGCTCAAATCACAAACTGGCTTAAATGGGTAGCTGCTGCCCTTTCATTTAACATTTGTGATCACTCACATTTTGTTCAAAATCACGTCCTCAGCAAGAGAGCCAGCAAGAGAGCACTTTGCTATTACTTGTATTTAGATATGTATTTGCACAAATATTTATCCTGGGAATGATGGTACAGAGCTTTCTTAAAAGCTCTTTTGGCTTGGAAGTTATCAGGTCAGAAAGTAGACATGATACTGCACGATTGATGGGACATTCACAGCAAACAATGCATGGTGAATAACAAATACCTGTAAAACTAGTTCCTCTGAGTAGCCTGCAAGAACTGTGGAGAAGAAATATGTTTGCCTGAGGAATTCACTGAACAATTTTAAATAACAAACACATTTGTAAAACACTGGAAGTCAGATTGTAGATGACTGACCAGCACACCTCCAAAATACCTTAGCACACCTGAACCTTCGTGTCTTCTTTCATCATGTCACTCACTCCTTTTTATTGGCAGAAGCAAAGATCCTTTTGCCAAGCTGCTGCAAGCATGGACAACCTCTAGGAAGCTCACTCAGCACACTGACTATTGATAACGTGGCAACAGCAATTGGATATTCTACAAGGCTTTAATTAGGCTTTCAGGAATAATTTATCCCTTGGAAGAATCTAGCCTAGAATAGCTATCTCAAAAAAAAGTGTAAATGTCTCCTTTTCCACAGTACTGGTTTGGAGGTGATGTTCCCTTCTCAAATACCGTTACTTTCCCTATCTTTTCCTTTTGTCTCATGCACCTTTCAGTCCGTGACTGACAGCCTTGTATGCCTTTCTCAGCCTATTGAGACACCTCTTCTTCCCATTAGCCCATTATCACTATTTTCTCCCAGAGCCTTAGCCTCATCCTCATTTGTCATCTCTCCACACAGATGCCCACAACTAAAGAGAAGAGCTGGGACTCACTAGGAACTGCTGCCAAGCCCTGTCAGACCTAATGCAGGAACAAAATCCACATCAGCTTCACCTTGTATAAGCTTCCATCTATCATGTGCCGTTACCTCCACTAGCAATCTCCTGTCTAGAGAGGGTTAGATTTTTTTCCAAGCAGGATTTTCCAAATAAAAAGATGCCTGTTTGTTTAAATCAAAATGCTTTTTCGAAATGTCAATCATGACCAGAAGGAAAAAAAGAAGAGAAAAATCAACAGAACGCTATCAACAGTATTTAAGAATAAGATGGGATGTTTCTATTTTGTTTCTTGCTATGTAATGACTACCTTTTATTTAGTTCTTCCAACTGCGTAGATTCATTCTGTTCTTATAATTTGATTTTCATTCCCACTTTAATTCTGTACTATATTTTACATATTCAGTGAAAACACATCAGAGTTTCTGCTCAGTGAAAACCTCCAAATTTTGAATGTTTTTCTAGTTGCAACAAAACATATTTTAAAACATCATTATTAGCTGGGTGATAGTAATCCTATTTTGCAAGCTACTATTCCTGACCAGAAAAATTAACTAACACCAGGTATTAACTCATGTCCTATACAGCTGCCTCACAATCACTGCAACAAATGGTTTTGTTTTCCAGTAGTTACCCTGTATGTCTGTAGAGGTAGATGTTAGATGCAGAATGGCATGTTAGCTCTAAATAACTAAGGGATAAAACAAAATACAGAAAATTAATATCACTATATTCCAGTCCCTGAGATTGCTCCAGGATGGTCACTGTGCCAGAAAATTGACTCATTTCCCTTTTGTCCTATAAATAATTACTAAAAACGTATTTCAGGTTTCAACTTTCAAATATTTTAGGTTAAAATTTTGTACAGTGAGAATCACAAACAATTTTTCATTCATTTGTGAAAAGTACTGAGATTTCTGTGTTTGTCTTTCTTAATGACGCTTTGACTTTTGTGTGGTTTGTGTGGCCACCAGCTGCTCCAGCACAATTTTTCTTTTTCCCATTAATTCTGAAAATTTTCAGAAACTTCCATACGTATCTGTAAACTGGAAAATCCATTACTTTTATAATTTCTAATAAAAAAAAATCAAGTTCCATTGTAACAGAACCAGGGACTATTTCAAAGTCCCCTCAAAACAATTACCCAATTTATTGCATGGAAAAATTTTTTTAGCGTACTAAAACCTCTTTGGATTTCTTCCCTTATTTTGAATCCAGCTCTAGAGAAAAGAGCCAGGTGTCTGAAGATATGATCAAATGAACTCTTTTGTCCTGCTAGAGGAAATCAGAAAGTCACCATCCCAAGTTGGAAGCTGTCTCTTCTCAGCTTTTTGTCTCTACATCTCACCAGGGAAGGTAAAAACAAACTCCTCAGAGACCATAATAAAAAATATTGACTGCTAATAAACCAACCAACTGAACATTTTCTTACTACTAGACTGCAACATAACAGCAATGTGCCATTTTCATACCAATAAAGGAAATTTAAAACATTTACACTGAAAAAAATATCACTAAGCACAATGCTATATTAAGACTGGAAGGAGAGCGCGCAGCATCTTGGCCATAGCTAAACTAGCTTTAAAATGGCCAGGTTTGAGCCACACAGGCTTCAGCCATTATAAGACCACATTGGGTCTTGGACACCCCTTCAGTGGCTGACATCTGGGCCACTACTGCTGCTGCTGGCACCACTACAGCTTGCTCTGACATATCTACGTCCATTGCAAATGCACCTCCGGCTGCGTTAGTGCCATAGCAAGCTGCTGGCAAAGGCAGGGTCTGCTTCGCCAGGTGCACCAGCTGGGCATGCCCTCCCAGTCCCTGCAGACAGACCTGCTGCCCACCTGCCCGCACAGCTAGCCGCCTCGGGCAACTCACAGTGTCTGAAAAACAACCTTTCTAAGAAAGTGCATTGTTTTCAGCCATTTTGGCCCTTCACTCAGCTCACCTTCCCTTGCTGCAGAAGGAAGGTGGTGCAAGCATGCAGCAGGGAGCTGTCAGGGGGACAGGGATGGGCCTTTCTGCAGCAGGTAGCTCTTTAATCTGTTTAGCTGTATGGAACCACACCATCAACTATTCATTTCAGTGATGGACCCTAGAGAAAATCCAAATGCTAACAGAAAATGCCCAAAATCCTGCTCCATAAAACAACAAAGCAATTATTTTTCTTTGCAGAAAATCTGACAGTCGCCAAAGCATCCTTTGCTAGCAGTGACAAGGGGTATCATCCAAGCCCAAATTAAGTGAGTGGGAGGTTTGCTATGGGCTTTGAGGATTACACATTTTGAAGGGCTGCATGTGACTCTAAGCCCAGATTAGCAGCCAACATGTTCCCACATACTGAACATAAGAGTAAATTATATTAGTCTCACATATTATTGCAACAAATGGTTTCTGTTTCTCACATATATAATGTGCTATCAAAAAAAAAAAAAGGTAACAAGTGAGCTTCGGAAGCAGAATGACTTCTATACTCACATGTATTTTAGGCATTAGACATGCAACTCATAAGAACTCAAGATGGAAGTCTCAAAGCCAAAAGCCTTCCTCACACACAGGAGAATAACAGAGCTGAGAGCAGTGTGACACACAATAAAATCTGTTCTCAATGGCAGTGGACATCACGAGGAATATGTGCTTGGTTGTCTGTCCCTGACCTCCTGTCTCCTAACATGGCACACTTATGCTGGTCCTGACAGGCATAAAGGCCACAATTAATTTCACACATGCACATACACGCCTCCTTCCCAAATTTAACCATCTAAACATTTATCTGGATAACTGAACAAAAAGGCCTAGCTGGAAGGAGCACTGAGCCCCCAGCAACCTTTCAGCTCAGTCAGTAGGGCATGACCAGTAGTCACTGAGCATGCCCATGAAAAAAAATTTGAAATAAACAAAAAGGATAAACAAAAAACCCCATTGATTTATACAGGCCACTTTAGAAAGGGCAGGTCAGTCATTCCAAAGGCTGCCACCACAGCACAGCACAGCATTCTCCACATCCTTCAGTGCTGACACACTCCTAACTACACTACAGAGTACAAAGCAAAAGTCATGTTTAGAATAATCGTTAAAGAAAAAAAACAACAGAAGATAACCTACTAAGACAGGGAAAAAATGTAGAAGGGATGGCATCACTTCACAGTATTCTCCTCTCAGCTAAGACTATGAAGATTTGATGCTGAACTTCTGACAGTCAGAACAGGCTTTGTAAGAATTTTTCCTGGACTATTCAATAAGGGTTAATTAGCTGAATATTTTTTTTAAATAATCTGATGCATATTCAAGCCAGACTCATATTCTGAAGGAATAATTCAGAATGGTTCATGTAGAGGTTCCTGTGAGGATTGAAAGCTGATTGAATGGACATAAACAAGCTTTAACAACAAAAGACAATCTGTTGAATAGAGTTGGAGGTGTTTACTGGGAGTCTACAGGGAATTACATTAGATTCTGCATTATTGAATAATTTCATTAATGATTTGGATAAAGGAGGTAAAATGTGTAAAAAGGCATGCTAATCTGAATCGCAGATATTACATTGGGAGCAATTATAAACATCATGGAATGAACTGAAAGAGAACTTCAAGGTGCCCTAGAAACATTTGAAATACATCCAAGAAATAAAAAACAAGATTCATCCCAGAATAAGCCAATCTGGAGGAAAACAAACCAATTCACTGACATTTAATGGTTTGGTGGGTGTGCCTCAGGGAAAGCAGAAACTTCTTAAAAGTAACCTTTGCAATTATTTTCTTTAATTTTGCCTGAAATGAGGAATAAAGCTTAAAGACCCCATGAGGGTCTGTGGAGTTGTGACAGACGGGATTCCAGCTAGGCAGAGGTTCCTGCTGGGAACTTGTGAATCAGTGCCTTAAGTGGCCTCAGTGGTTTTGCTAACATTTCTGCAACATCTCCACCAAAAACAAAAAAAGTACTACAGGAGGTCTTAATGACCCACAAGTACTGAAAGCTGCCTGGGAAAGAAGTGAAAAAGAAATGGCTCCTCTGCACTTTAAGTATAGAAAAAGCCAACACTATCTCGATTGTGGATAGTCCAGATTGCATCTGTTTAACAAGGACCTGTCTAACTAGGAACAACCTTCTATGAAGATAATCCTGAAGCTGGTATTTAGATCTTAATTTAGGATCTTGACTAGACATTGAACTGTGTTTTTTTAACTGGAAATAGCAGATTATTTTAATTTTGAAACAAAGTAACTATTTCAAACTGATCCCACAGATAGATGGTTTAAATAGTCAATTCTTAGCACTTTGATATTCTGGCATTAATGTGTGTCAGTTAGCAGAATGGCTGGATTCTTCCTGAACAGCACAGATTCATCATTTCACCAGCCCACCAGCACCGAAGGGAGAAGGCTATGAGGCCCCAAAACCTCTCCTGTTTTTCTAGTTCTGCAGGTCACAAATCAGGACTGGACCACATTCAACTCTCAAACCTTATAAGAAATTAACTAAAAAAACAAGCAAGCAAACAAAAAGTCCTGCCAGGACACTGAATCTAAGTAGCTCAGGGAAGGGAGTAGTAGGCATCCAAAGCTGGCTTCAGAAAGGAGCTGACACCAGCAATTCAGAAACAATAGTTGGGGAGCAAGAGGAAAACTTTTGTCTTCCAGTGGATGAGAGCCCTTAGATCAGGGCAGCTGCTAGCAAAACCACAGCCTCAAGCAGGTGATGGGGGGGGCAGATTTTGAAAATTCTGCATAGACTGCATCACTCAGGGCACAGATCTGAATCTATAAAAGTGCTATGGTGGGCCTTTGCTTCCTAAACCACAGTGGGATTTTAGAAAGGAAACACTTATACCATCTTAATCATGACAGGCAAAGCTGAATGCTGCCATTCAGATATGTTAATAACTATAGAAAGTTTCAGTAAAAATATTTTCGACTTTTTTCCTAAAGGTAACGGTGGGGACATGGAGGGAAAACACATGTTTTCTTCCCCAACAATGCTTTTAATACAGATGGACCACACAGATCATACTTCCTCCAAATTTTGAGTCTGAGACAGGCAGTCAGCACGGAAAACATCAGCCTAAATGAGCTGCTTTTAGTAAAGGTATAAGTAAGCAAAATCATGGTTTTAGAAAGTGTTAAGCAGTATGTATTGTAGGGACTGCTCACTGTGCTCCCTGTGACACTCCTAAATACCATGAATGCTGACCAGAGGCATGTTTCTCAGTTCTCTTGTGCAGATCACTCTTTTAGCTGAATGAAGGCTTACACAGTCATCTCTTGCTTGCAGTTAGTTTTCTTTATTTTCAGTTATTTCTTAGGTGAATTTGTACACAATTACATTATGCCTGAATATCCCCAGGGCTTCTTCTCAATAGGTTACTTGAGCCAAAATTTGCATGATGTTCTCTTATTGCATATGCATGGGAAAGCTTTGTGGTATTGGCTGCTATTTTTTGCTCTGCCTCAAACACTTCATATCTTTTTTTTTCATTATTTCTTACTAGTAAAAGGTGTCTCTCTCCTGGAGTTTCCTTATGATTAGATGAAACAGAAAAAGGGAACACTTTCTGCAGTAAGACTTGCAGTGATGGCAACAGAGCCCACAGTTGCACTATGCATATATAGCATTTTTGACTGAAACTGGATGATTTGCATCAGCAAAGATTGGATAAGGATTACAGAGGATCGTGTTTCTACCATAAGGAAGCCAGTGCAAATGAGAAGAAACAGCGCTGGTCTGATGGTAGTGGTATTTTTGATAGGCAAATCCTGATCAAGCCCTCCATAGGCTAGAAAGGATTTCCAAAGCTGCCCAGGGAACTGCCACATCTGGACTGAGCCATCCAAACATTCTAAGCAGCCTCTGCATTTCCAGAAGCCCAAGGAGAGACAGAACAACATGAATGACCATGCGTTTCCCATGGATGCTGAGTCTCCTACCTAGTCAGCCGAATTCACACACATTACAAGGTGCAGGACAGGACCACAGTGAGTTATTTTCATTACTTCATTTGGGAGGAACTACTTCTACTCTATTCCATTTTGGTTCATTATACCACATCCCTCGTCGTGGTCTCTGAGCATTTTCCAATGAGACATAAACAAATCGCTAACGAGTATGTCATGTGGCTGCCTCTCCCCTTTCATTTCCCAAAGGCCGTGTTTCCTCTGCTTATCCTGCAGTTCAGTGTGGCTTACTATACACATTATATGGAAGGCTTCATGAAACTTATCTATTTGTATGTAACAATTTATCCCACAACGAGCCTATAGAAGTCTCATCAGCCATCTGGTATTTTTATTTCTCCAGGCTGAGAAAGCAATCATGGCTAATCCTCCTGCGAACTATGGAAGTCAGGTTTTACTTCTCACTTTTCTGTACCAATAACTATTTACAGTGTGAAGTAGGCCAAAGACCCTAAAAATCTGTGTACTCCTCAACTCTTATAGGACCCTAATGCTAGGCGGCTGCCAGAGCAAATGTGGTTCCAGTCCAGAACAACAAAATTCTCAGGGTATCTGGTGAAAGATCAGATATGCTGTAGGAGAATCATTTTTTGCTGAACCCTACAACAGATACATGTGCATGTACTGAGTTTCCACAGACCCAGTGAGAAATCTGTGTTATGTTTTAGAACACGAAAATTGAAGTGGACGTGTTTTTCAGGATGTAATTGTCTGGAACAGAATATGATGTTTCACAAGTAACTTTTCAGCTACGGTGCTGCCTTAGGCAATCCTTGCTCCCCAACACCATCGCCAGCCTTGTGCCAGCCCAAGTCCTTGTGGGACCAGCACGGCAATTTTGGTGAGGGAACTGAACCACCCAGAATATAACTACTGTTTTGCTAAGTTATTTTTCAACCATATTGGTTACACTGGCTCAGCACAGAGTAACAAACATCTGGCAAGGGCAGCTATTGAAGTCAGCACAAGGAGTTCTGCTGCTAAATGTCCAATCAACTAATTGATGCTGAAAGGTTAATAAGCAAAGTCTTTACTTCTTAATTATGTTTTGCTTGCTTGAAAGTTAATTAATGCAAGTCCTGAGGATTACTTCAAGGCTAAAAAAAAAATTGGTCGTCTTCTTTCGAAGATACATCAAGATGAACCCTAATTCGAGTAAGCTATTGATACATTTTAATAGAGAAAATTGAACATTTACCAAGAAACATACACATAGTAAAGATATGAGTGAACTAAAAAAACAGAGTCCTACTGCAGAACACCACCACAATAGCACTGACATAAATTGGTGACTGGGATCAGGCTATATTTAGGATTCCTGGTCATTTTTTTCCTTCTTGTTTAAACATCATCATCCACATATTCACTCACCTAGTCTAGCAGGACCTTGCTCTCTCTGTTGAATTGAGTGCACCATCTCTACAAGCTTTTCAGCCTCTTGAGGCATGTTCCATGAAATTTCTAGATTATTTTCCCTGGCATACTGGAAAACCGACACATGAATTGAAGTATTGCCTGAAGCAAAAAGCAGAAAAGAAAGATTTTAAGTACTGCATATGAATGTCTTAAAATAAATGTAAAGGATACATTATGGTTGTGTTTTACATTAAGCGCAACTAGACAGTGATTTTTCCATCAGAGTGTGAAAGCTGCATTTTCAATTAAAAGATCCAAACTAAACTATTCCTAGGTGAAAAAACATGCAAGTACTGCTGGGAACAGTTGCTTTTCTGTCAGGAATCAGCATACAGTAATTTACCCCAGATCAATTTGCCCATGACTGGAGAATTTCACTTTATTGATCTCCAAATATTGTTCCTTTTCCATTTTAAAATTGTCTAAATATCACTTTTTTTTTTTTTTTAACGTGCACATTGTTTTGCAAGCGTGGTACTTTGATGCCATTTGTCTGATGGGTCAAGCTCCCTGGATGACTACCTTCGATGCAAATTTCCCTCTGTCATACATCACTTGAGTGACATGCATCAGGCTGCAGTATGGGACATAGCACACCCAGGGAGCATGACCTGCAAAGGGGAATGAAGAGAAATTCCAAGTTCTGCTATTTTCTGACAGCCTGGTTCTGCTTACACATTATGTAAGAAGTATGAACAAAACAATTAACAGAGGCTTGATATTGATTTGAATATTGTCTACTCACTACACTTTACAATTTTTCCACGGTCTTCTCAAATATTTTGATATCAAGGCCATAGTCAGGAGTAATTTCATAGCTATATTATTATTATCCTGTTGTTAAAGATGTAACATTTGCTATTACAGACTTCAGAGATAAAGAAAACAGCTAGGCTAAAATAAATTGTCTGTTGGTTTATTGTTTAGTTTGTGTTTATTTAACTTCTCTTGCTCCTCTATATTGTGTATGTACACAATTTTCAGAAACAGAGTGTCTTCCACATACCATCTCTAAAAAATCCGTTATTCTAAACATACAGCAATGCTTTACTTTTCCTCTGTGAGCTCTCTAATTAGTACAAGTGCTGGTAATCACCTCTTTTGGAAGCACAGGTATAATACAAACATGTCAACACCCAGTGGGAAACACCAGCAGCAATAGCAGTTGCTCCATGGAAATGGTTTAATGCTGAATTGCAAAAGTACAATTCTGATTAAAAAATCCAGGTCGTTAAAACAAATGCTGCTGGAGAAACGCAGGATCCTTTATAGCCCCTGCCATGAGGATGGACTTGGTGCAATGGCACACGATATCCAAACTTGCTACATGTACCACATGGTCCCTTCATGGATGTGCAGGATATATGGCATCCTGCCAGGGTGGCTGCACTGATGGTATCTGTGCTGAATGACCTAATTACAGGTATACTTCGCATCAGTACATACTCTGCAAGCTCAGTGAGTCTAGCACTCCCAAAAAGTGTCTGTCATCCAACGTGGGTCAGGAAATAAATCTTAAAAAGTCAGTTCCAGCACCCTAGGTTAGTCAAAAAGAGCTGGTCAGAACAAGAAATGCCCATTCCAAAGACCAAAATCTTGCAGTCAGATAAAACCTGAACGAAAAACCCTCTGAATTATCTGTTCTTACCTGAATCAGAACTGAATTTGAGCTATTATTTTCAAGTCTGTTGAACCTAATCCAGAACTGAACCAAAAACAAACATGAATTTTTGCTTTTCTGCTTCAGAATAACAGTTCAGCTAAATCTCCATCCTGTGACAGGGATCTCTTTGCCTGTTTGGCACACACGCTTCTTATGTCCAGGACAGTATAAAGGGAGGCATTCATTAGAGCTACTGTCCAAGCTATTCCCTGTCACATGATTCCCTGAATTGGATGTCAAACCTCTATTGAACTGAAGCTTGGTTTGGGAGGAAACTGAACTGCATCTGAACCAAAGGCTTTACTAGACTGATTTCCCCAATATAAACTTAAATTTTTTTGAGGGATAGGACTGAGTCATTTAAAAATAAAATGTTTTAAAAAACCTATACTGAGAAGCTTTTTTTCCTGTATAAGCAAAATAATACAAAACGTCTTTATGTGTTTGAGTTAAAAGAGAGATACATACTGATCTCAACACTTTCAATAAATGCCCGTACAAAGTTTTTCATTTCCTCAAACTCTGATGCTCCAGTATTGGAACTTCCATCCAGAAGAAACATGACATCCATTGGTTTGTTGCACAACTCTGAGAAGCGGGGAGAGAAAAAAAAAAGTTTGTTTATACATCATAACCAGAAGTAGCATCTACTGATCTATTGGTAGGGGCAGAATGGGCAGAGATAAAACAGAGAGAAAACAAAGCGGGATAATGACCAATTGATTTGGTAAGTGATGCCCTTTTAATGAAAACCTTGAGATTTATCTTTAGTGAGATACATGAGTATTTTAATTCTCGCTTTTCTACTAATGCTATTTTACTCTCAGGGGACTAAAACAACAGCAAACAAAAAAATCCAAGCTAAACCAAAACAATAACAATAAAAAAAACCCAAAATATCATCACCCCTCCCCCCGCCCTGAAGAAAACCCTCAGGAAAGAGGAAGTGTGTTTTTAACTTCCTTGAAGCAGGCCCCGCCCCTCAGAGTTGTGCAAAAGAGGAAATTACACAGAAAACACGTCCAGCTTTACCTGGAATTTCTGTCCAAAGTTTATGAGAGCAGCATGACTGCAGCACTAATTCAGGTGCTTCTTCAATAAGTCTGCTATAACTGTGCAAGATAATTGGATTATTAGGCTGACTGATCTCTCTGAGTTCTTGGATATTTGCATTAGGAGTTATGCCTATGGGAATAACATTTATGCTCCTCGGAGGTCGTGTGATGACATCAGTGGAAGGACTTGATGACACCATATATACCAAGTGAGGAACATCTTGCCTGCCCCCATTCACTGGTGTAAATGTGTGTTTGGAAATATAATTGAGGGCATTCCCAGTGTTGGTAGCCTTCCCTCCTTGGTAGGGTATGTTCCTCACCTTCTCAATAATACTTTCCTTTGACTGTATTTCCCTAAAGGAATACTCCAGTGTGACAGTCTCTGAATACTGCATGACTGTAACATGAATATCTTCCTGTCCCACATCCATTCCTGTGATCACCCTCTCAAGGAACTTCTTGACAATGTTGAAATTTTCCTCTCCTACATTGTCAGATCCTTCCACAATAAAAGCAATGTCCAGACTTTTGTGAGTGGGCTTTTCTGAAATGGGTGGTGGTGCTGTGAGTCCCCAAGGGGGAGATAAGACACCGGATATTGTTGGAGTGGATGTAGATTGTAACAGAGAACTTTCTTCAGGTCCAAGATGACATAGACGATCAATGAGGAGATCCCTGTTATCCATTAGCTCTAACACATTGTTCATTAGGAAGGCTTTATTATCTGGTGACTGCTTTTCAATGAACCTGATTTGCTCCACATTAACATTAGGTCCAATCCCCACAGGTATCACTGCAATTTTTTTATTCTTCAAAGCCGTGAGGATGCTGCGGAGTTTTCCTGGAGACTTGCTTGCTATAAATAACACTGCAATTCTGGCAGCATTGGTCCTTTCTGCTTTTCCAAACACATGAAACACAGTGTATTTAAGGACTTCGGCAGCAGACGCTACTTCATCACCTGTGTATTTTATGCTTTGGACAATTTTTCTCATCTGGGACTGTGTTTTGATATCTTTAAGGCCAAGGTAGATTGTGGGGCCAGCCCTATACACCAGAATTGACACTCGGATTTTCTTTTGGGAAATGTGGAGTTTCTTCATCATGCCAGTTATGAAAGTCTTCAGCTGGCCAAAGTCCTCCTCTGACAGTTTATTGGAGCCATCCAATAGGAAGGCCAAATCCATCATCTTGCTGCATGAATATTCACTGGGTGGCAGCTCAATGTCCTCCTCTGGAGCAGGTGTTGTTGGTGTCAGGGTGTCCTCCACTGGTTCACAGGCTACACAGGATAAGTTCTTGCCTTCACACAGACTACAAAAATCACCAAATTTAACTGTAAAATGTCAGCACTTATAATGACACATCACCTGCATCTAATAAAAGAATGACCATTCAGAAACAGTTAAGTATCTCAAAAACACAACAAAAACAAAACACAATGTGAGTGATTTGTTCCCCACTCCATTTCCCCACAACTCTTCATGAGGTATGGTACAGCTAAATCCTGTATGTTCATGCACGTTTGTTTAGATCCAGGAAACACATGACAAACTATGATGTGTTTGTCAGAGGAAACTCTCCTTATAACAGCCTTTGTCTGAATGTGTAAAATCTGTGTCTGGAAACTGCCTAGAAACCCACTGAGCTTGAGCAGTATGGCTACCTGTAAGCCATGGGAGGACTGAACTGACAGATCTGGTTTGCTTCTCAAAGAAGAAAAATAGGAGGCAAATTGGACGCAGCTTAACACAAAGCAGAGTAAGAAAGATGCCTGTAGCTCTGATATGACTTAGCACACTCTGCAAGGAGGCTAGGTTTACCTAGGTTTTAACCTTAGTGAAAACAACAACCAGCCTTTTTTCTACCTCTAAAGTGCATTACTTTTCTTTTTCCTGACTTCATTTTGTTTGGAATACAGCTTTAGCACATGCTTGTCCTCCATTTTTTTTTATGTCTCCTTTGTTATCTTCCTCTTATTTACCATGTACCGTTTCAATCCCTTTTCTCACATCATGATGTATTTCATCTACGGCTATTATCTATTTTTAGTCTTATTTGTCTTTGCTCAACATTTCTATTTACCTCCATTAGTACATTTTTCTCTTCCCCTTTCCATCTCAGCTCCCATTTTTCTTTTTCTGCATCTCTGCCTTTTCCACTATTCATCCTTCTGTACCACCATGTGATTTTTCACCTCTGTCACCCTCCGGCTTTTAGGAACTTGTTTATAATTCATCTCTTCCTATCTTTGGCAAGGCTTTAACACTTTTGCCCTTCTAATTCCTGGTTGTATGATTCTCTTTACTTCAGTTATCAGTGCAAAGAACATGACTGTACTCACTCACAGAGTGGTACAGACTCACCCAATGTATTTTCCTTGTCTGACTGGACAGTCCAAGAAACAGAACAGGAAAAGTTTACGAAAGAGCAAGGGCCAAAAATTGCTTGTTTTCACCGCCAGAAAGAACCCCAGGATGTACAAACTAACCAAGTCAATACTGGAAGAAGGTGCCATTTTCCAGGAAAAGACTTCACTTTACATGTGGCACCTTCATTTAAGTTCTGCCAGCACTATGCTCTTTTCAGGCTGCTTTTAGTATCTTCCTAATTGAAGAACGCACAGCTACTTTTGGCATTAATGTATAGCAACAGAAGATTTATTATTTTAATCCTAATATGAACGACACTCTTCTAGTTTCCAATTTCCTTTGGATATTTGCTATAAAATTCATTTTTGTGCAATATTTTCTATTGTTTGTACAGATGGTGTAGGCATCTAAATTAGGTGACAGCTATGCAAAAGGATGTTTCCCTAGTGAGGTAAGTTTTCCTAATGTTCTGAAATCTTTTGTGAGCAGTGGCCAGTGTATCAACATTTAAGATAATTATTAAGGATTACAAAAATTAGAAAACAGAGACTCATTTATGAAGACTCTTTTTTGACCTTTTGATGGAATTCATGGCTCTTTGTATATACTGTTAAAAAAAATTAATTGATCTGCCTAGCAGCCTCATGCCCTAGGTTTATGGCACAGACATATGCTAGCCTGGGCAAGAGGCCAGGAATTTGAAGTTCATACCCATTCAGAGTTTCTGAGGTTCAGAGCATTTGGAGCTAAGGTGTTAGTCTGGGCTAATAGCTGCTGCAGTTTTTCAACTCAGTTTCTATTAAATATAGTCAAATTACAAGATGGAAATCTCTCCTGTATTCACAGCATTACGAGTGGCTAGTGAAAGTATCCACCCAAAGTCTAGATATCTGGAGAATGCTAAACTTTCAGATACTACAGGCCTTGGCATAATATGTCACTGGGCTGTAATACAGAACAAAAATCAGTCTCTGCCACATTGCAGCTGAAGGCCCTGATCCTGCATCATGCACATGGTCCCTTCCATTAATTTAATCATATCTAGAAACACATATGTGAAGGATCAGGCCACAGGATATAATCTTAAGCTCTTGGGGAAACAGGTTTTCCAATAATAGTACACAATTCCAACTCCTACTAATCTCAGCAAGTTCTAGACTGAGTGCACATTCAGATCTTGCACTATACGTATGATTTTTTTAGTACTGGTGGGAGAGTCTGATGGCTTTGTTGATGTTGAATCACACTTTACAGAAACAAAAGTGGAACTTCTAAAGCCAGAGGGGCCACCTACACATGGGAAAAGGTTTTGAAAGGAATATAAGAATTTCACTTGTTTAAATTCAACTGACATCCTATAATCCCAACCATCACTGAAATCTTCAGTGATGCTCAGTTTCAGACTGTATGTGAAGGGATATTGACGTAAAAGATGGTTTCCAGGCTTCATCTTTAGTGGTGTATTCAAAGTTATGTCCAAAAACTTATTCCTGTGGATGTGTTCCATATCCCTCCCTTCGTGCTACTCAAGAGGCATGCTATTTCACTGTGTGAACCCATCATACCAAGATTGACAACGCTGTGGATTATCTCTGTTCAAAATAATTCTCCTTCCATGTGGGATCTTGACATCTCCAACTGCACACACAGGACAGTCTTCTGGACTGACACAATCCAGGGACAGTTCATCAAGTATTTTCCCTGTTTCAAAATAGCACAGTAGTATAAAGATGCCAATTTTCATGAATTGCAAAACTAATAATTTTATTTACCCTGCTACCAAAAAAACATGACAAGGCTTCTGAGTTGGGCTTAAAAGTTCTGAATACTCTGCCTGTGTTATGGTCACTGCCAGTTTGACAGAGAAGTACTTCTTTCCTTCATAACCGTCTTTGTTTAGATATTGGAAGCACTTAACACAGTATGTCATCTGCAACAGTATCATACAGAAGGTGAATACGTCTTTAGAGCAAAAGCGTTGAAGATGACAGGAAAAAAAGGCATTCTCCTTTTTACATATATTGTTGATTTCTCCCAGTATCCCTGGGAGATACCTCACTCTGATCAGAGATATCATGGCCCAAAATAGCTATTTTTTGTCTTAAAATACCTCCTTTCTTTGCCTTCATGTCTTCTCATTCTTAGGAGCTATTTATTCATCTGAGTTTTCATTCGCCTTCTCGATCTTGGTTACCTTTCATTCTTTCCCCCTCTGGCTGTCTTTCCTCTTCCCTCCCCATATTTCCCATATTTTTTCCTTTCCCCTTTCTAAGAGATAGTTGATGAGAACAGTTAAGCTGAAAGCTCAGGCTGACAGGAAAATACCTCCTGGGCACTCTCAAGAGCATCTGCTGGGCACCCCCAGGAGGACTGGAGCCTTGGAGATAGTAAGCAGGTCAAGGCAATGGGTTTCCCCCACTGCTCTGAAAGAGCATTTTACGAGTGTCCAGCACAAATTCATACCCTTCTTTAACCCCATAGTCAACAACCTCTATTGCTACACAGCCCCTAATCCTCCTGTCTTCCTTTCTCATCATCTCTTGTTCTTGCTGGCAGTGTTTCATTCTCCTCTTCTAGGCACCACTTCATGCCCTCCACACACAGTGCTCATTTCACAAACTCAAACCAAGATGCCTAGCCACCATCATCCTTTGTGGTGAAAACACATCAGTAAGTCTGTTAAGGAATTAACTGCTACATCTAAGTCTTTTGCAATCTCTAGCATTAAAAATCTGTGAACATTTCTGAACTAGAAGACCTCTTTTCATGCAATAGAAATACTCAGAGGATTAAAACAAAACAAAACTCTACAGCAATACCTACAAGTACCAGGTGTAGAGCAGCAAAAGTTAAGTAACTGCTTAAAGCAAAAGATGGATTTACCTGCAGGACAGTGTACATGGCATCCTTCCACACACTGCAGAGGGCACTCCAAAGGCTGTGGGTGCTGGCATGTTATAGGACAAGCAGGTCCACAGCTGTTATATCGCCATTCACATTGATAATCTAATTCTTGTTTATTCAGGTCCTCACAGCTTTGTGCTACAGAGTGAAGGAATCAGAGGCAAAAAAAAAAAAAAATTCAAAAAATCTAACCAGAGTGTATTCACCTTGCCTCTCAGAACTATGATACCAAACTTGGTACAAAGTGGACCACATGCATAGTAAAAGAAAGATTTCCATCTTATAATAATACTTTCAAGACAGACCACTTCTTCACACTTTTTTTTTTATGTAATAAGGTACTTCCTCTAGATCAGAGATATTTGTTTTTGATAAAAACAATTGCATAAAGTTATCATTAAATTTTAATTTTTAAAAAAATAAGAAAATGTGTAAAAAACATTTCTTTCTCTATGTTTGTTTGTACCATGGAGTACCATATCCCCTTGTTGAGGGAATGTTTTTAACAGATATGGCTCTGGACATAAATAGAAATGCTACCATGAGCTGCTAGCCCAGTCCCATTAAAATGAACTTCACTGGACATCAGTGGGAGCAGAGCTGGCTAAGAACAGTGTACCTGAGCCAACAGCTTACTGATTACAAGTTTTAACCTTTTCACTCAATTCCTCCTCATCTGCCCTGTACTTACGGCACAGAGCTGGTGATCTCCAGTGAACAGCAACACCTTTTTGTGCACAGACATGTGCATAGGCCGCTATAGCATCACAGAAGCAAGCACAGTCCCCAATAGATTCGCAAGCACAAGTGTCATACATGCAAATATCTATGTAGGGCTCAGGATTCACCTACAAAAGAGAAATACAGAGTGCAGTACACTCACTGATTCCCCTCATCTCCTCCTCCTAGACACATGTAACCTTCAGATGGTTTGCCTGCTCTATCCACCAAGAGTTGAGATGCCACAGATATCAGTGCAGATCTTTTTGCTAATGTCAGCAAGGACTCAAATCAGGACATGTTCTCAAAGCTGTTATAGACACTGCAATTTATTGTTCCTTAATATTCCTTATACGGAGTAACTTTATACGTTTTTGGGCCCTGTTCCCATACCCTCTTGTCTAGCAGCTTGGGTAGAATGCAGTCTGAATGGCATCACATTAGCTGAGCTCGCTCTCCCCTAAAATCTCAACCCTTGTGTTTGACTTCATGTGCCTGTCTCTGGACTTTAGAGTAAAATTTCCCTAAAGCAGAAGTTATTCTATAGCTTTCTACTAAGTAGTATCCTGAATTTTCCCATGAAGCATCTACAGGATGCCAAGAAGTATCTACAGGACAGGGTCAGAGATGAGAACACCAGTCAGCCTCCTCTAAGTCCTGTGTGTTGTCAGCACAACTATACTTTTCCCCTCAGCTATAATCAGTGTCAGCACAGATCACGCAGAATTTAAGAATGGGAAACACACGACACCATACTCACGTGTTTTTGGCATTCTTCAAAGAGATCCCCAGACAAAATGCTGCATGATGTTTCTACCATCACCTGCTTCACTATGTTTCCATTACACAGTGGAGACATCAAGGTCTGTTCCAGGTTGGGCTTAATATTGTAAGAGACAAGCACACATTGCATCAGCCTTGCCTTCAGGACCTCAGGACTCTTCAAGTTGAAGACACTCACTAGCACTAGACGTTTTTCATGACAAAGGAAATTGTCAGGACAAATCCTGCCACAGCAGAATGCAGAGTAGAGCAGGTCACCTCCTACATTTTCTCCAGCTCTTACTTGTATGCTGCAGTTTTAACATAGATATTTTGATGACAGAAAGTCTCACTGTACCCAACATCCACCCCAAAAAATGATCGTTCACAGCTCTGCAGAAGGCCCACAAGATTTGCAAATATGATCAGTCTTCAGCAGACAATACCCATGGCCACTGCTCAGTAGTCTCCCTCTCTCCTGTTTACCTAAGAACAAGGAGCACTAGTATTGACAAGGCATTTATCATTGAGATAGTCTGCAGGTTCTGTCCTGTGCCTATTACACTGAAATGAGGAACTGTTCCTTCTCAGTTATACCCTGCAGTCTCACTCCTCATTTTTGCAACAACTTCTGTGCTCCAATCAAGTAGTACCTAAAAAGTGACATTCAGCAAGGTAGTACTGTGGCGATGTCACACTTGCACATAATTTATCAAACTAACGCAAAATATTTCATGTGATCAAAGCCAAATGCTTCATTTTATTTTCTAATAATTTAAATCTTTTATGGAAATATCTAAAAAAGGCCTTTCTTTTTGACTCTCTCTGAAAATCTAGACAAATTTTCAACAGAAAGTTTTCAGCCTTAAAAGCATCATCTGAATGAAAGTTTCATTTTACAAATGTTAAAACAAGTTGTCTTCAAGTTGTTTCCTCACTTTTTGATTTGGAAATACTTTTGACCATAATTATTTGTCGAGTCAAGACAAATCTATTATTCAATTTAATTCTTTCAAAACTCTGTATTTGGAAATGAGGAAGTATACTCTCATGTGTAGCATAAGTAGTACCCCATTAAATCACCTAATCTCTGGCACCAGGACATAGACAACGCTTTAAGATAGCAGGTAACCTCCTCAAAATTCAGAAGCAGTGATAGCATGGCAATAAGGTCTTACATCCTCTCCTGTATCTGGCTTTTTCTTTTCAAGCCTCTCCAATCTGAAAATAATAACTGAATGCTCTTTTAAAAAGAACAAGAAGAATATAGAAATAAATTTATCTGTGCATTCAGTCGTTCATAAATGGACGAAGATTTGTGATATAGAAGTTTGGATAGGGAGATATGAAATTTTTATCTGAACTTCTCCTGTCTGAAAATTGCAGCTGTTTCTTTTAGATTAAGCTCTAAAACGAGATTTCCAGTCATACCTGGATTTCAAGCATCTGGGTTGGCAAACTCTATGAACAGCCTCTACTGTACAGATTGGCTATTTTAACATTCATCTGAATCCAGACAGCGCAGAGGCCTTAATAAGATAATTATATTTTATCAGATTTCAATAAATAATATTATCTGGCAAAAATATGAGGGAAGGAGTTCATTTCTATTTATTTTTATCCTTTCAAACCTCTTTGCCTGCTCTAGAGTGATACTGTAACCCGTATCAACTAGTTTTCACAGTTCATTTGCAATCACCTTTTCAACATCAGCACAGTATGGATTAACTTTCCAAGAATTCCCAAAGTCAACTGGATCTACTTCAAGATGTTCATTGCTGCTGGTCAAATCATTGTTTTGGATTCCATCAAAATTTCCACACAGACCACACACTTGATCCTTGCAGGGAAAGAAACACAAAATACATAAATTTTACATCTGTAAGATTGGCTTAGGGTTTTGTTAAGAAGTCTTTTTAGCCTAGTGCTTTAATGTCACGAGGCTTAAAAAACTGAATTATTCCTGACCTTGCCAACTTCACTAAAATAGACATAGTCTCTCATAGAGAACATTTAGTTCCTATTCACATTCTGCTTAGCTGAAAGTAGGACCATACTGCCTCTAAGGTCTCCAGGAAGCAACATAACACCTCTGATCAGTAGTGCCTGTTGGATCTCTTTGGAGTATTTCTCTACAATCCCATTTTATTTCTAGAGATGACTGTCCTCTTGCCATCACCAGTAAATTTCTCTCCTTATACTGCTGCTCTTGAATACAGAAGAAATCACTCAAGGCATAGCTATTCTGAGGCACCACAGCATTCATCCTTCTGTCATAGCTCATCTTCAATGACCCAGAATTTAATCCTTGCAGTTGAACTACCAGGAAAGTACGCAACCCTTACGGTATTACAAAAATAAAATCCCTTCATTTTCAAGCAAGTGCCCAATACTCTATGGAAATCTAACAGCATGACTGCATTAAAAAAAAATAAAAAAATACTATTCCCCAGAGAAAGGGTAAGTGCATTCTTTAGTGTGAATAAGAAGTATACCAAAAACACTTACTTTGAAATTGCCTTTTAGGATAACTGAGACTCCTATGGCCAAGTCCCAGGTCACACTGATGCTTTTGCCCAGTAAGATGATGTAATAACGGCCAGACCTCATGACTTCTAAATCATTGTCATCTTTAGGAGGTACCTTGATGTTTACCTGAACAAGAAAAGCACATTGTGATATTGACCATGTCTCTAATTACTGTTTCATGTGAGTCACTTTCCCAGTGGGACACGTGCTCATAGGTTAACAGCTATTTTCACACATGCTATTCTCCAGAGAACAGATAGTTCCCATACAATATACAGATTCTCCGGAGAACTTGCAAAACTGTAAGCAAGGTAAGCGACTTGATTACAGGCTTGTCTCTACACTGAAAAGTTGCTGTGGTTAAATTATTGCCTTAGAAATGACACTTCTAATCAGCAAATTGGGATAAAAGTACAGTATTTCAATCTCATCACAGTTCCATAATTTTGAATGAGGCGATGTCTCTTGTCCTCCTGGGGTATAATTTACACTCAGCACAAATACTGACAAACAAAGCAATGACTGCTAAACAGAAGGCAGGCTGATGAAGAGGACAGGGTATACATACTGACCAGTTTAGTATTTGGTCAATGGTTCACTGAATAATTGCATTTTATTTTTATTTGATCTTTTTAGGAAACTAACAATTCTGTGCTCCAACGAAAGGGCTGGCTAGGTTTAAGTGTAATGTGAACTGGGAGAGCCACACGCATTGGTAACCTCTGAAGGACCAGACCCTGATTCTGAAGTCAGGAAGGACTTTCTTCCCAACCAGCTACACCAACAGGAGAAATCCTGAGAGATTTTTTTGGTGTCTCTTAATTTTTCCATCACTTTCACTTCCCCTGTGTGCCTCTTTCTCTTTCCATCTGGCTGCAAATTCACGGCCTCCAGCTACTAAGAACTTAAGAGACTAATTTAAAATGCTTTATTTCACACTGCAATCCTTTCAATGGGAATGCTAATAGGATTATTAACCACATTTGGAGAGAAAGGTCTGGCATGACTGTTAGTTTAAGCACCACTAATGCATTAAGTAAAAACTGCTTAATTGTGGAAGAGGCAGACAAAAACTTTCAAGCAGTACAAATAGTGACTAAAGCAAGGGAGAAAGAGGAGCCCACAAACCATTCATCCACTCCCTAGTCTGAGGGCAAAATACCTCCTTATCCTGCTATTCCTTCTTGCTCAATTCAGCAAAAGCTCAGTACGATAATTCAATTCTCTTAATCTCTGGGGTATCATCGGAAACTTATTTCTCAGAGAAGACATCCTCAAAGGATCTCCTAAAGAAGGCCTTCAATGTCTTTAGGGGAAGAATACATTTTAGGAATTGGAAGCTTTCTCATCTTCTTCTGTGCCCAGCGTATTACTATACAGTCTAGTCACCTTTGGTCACTTATCTTCTAAATATCTACAGCAGTCTGTCTTTCCAGCCTAAGACAAAAAGCAGAGGAGGACAAAATTTAGCTGGGAGGTTGACCTAAATCACAGAATTTCTGTGTTTATGGAGTCTTTTTGCCAAACCATGAAGTCATAAACTTTTGACCTTGCAAACTGGCAGATTTATTTGTTTCAGAAGAGCAAAAATGATTTCATGATTTTGTTTTTTAATGTGAGCCAGAACTGTAGCATGCAGATACTTCAATTAAGCTTCTGTTTACTTAAAACTAGAAGCTGCTTTTAAAACAATATCATTTTAAAACAAGGCTTCTTAGAAACATTTTCATGGCAAAAAAAAATGAGTCGATTCTCCTGCTTGCTTCTAAGGATTCTTGTGGAACAAGAGTGTAGGAAGTCATCACTGGGTGAGAATTTGCCTAAGAGTCTTCATATCAGTTGTTTTTCCTTAATGCCTCCTTTGCTTGCTGTTATTTCTAATAAAACCTGGTCTAGATATCACACTGAGCCCTAAATTTTCTAGAAAGACAGCTAAAAACTCAGTCACGTGGTCAGTCTTGTGATACAGCCCCAGCTTTTGCAAGGACATAACTCTCTCAGGAACCAAACACCCTCTGCTGCTGGAGTTGCTGGATGCCTTATCACCTCTTCCCTTTTGTGCCCCTTCTTTAGATGTCCAAACAGAATCACAGCTCTTCTGAAAATCTGTCACCTAAACAAGATTTCGGACAAAGCCTGGCTCTATGGACTGATCCCTGCATTGCTATTCAGACTCACCTCGGTAAGGGATTCCTTAACTGCAGAAATAAATAATTGGTTGGACAACCAATGTGTCCTATGTTCATTCCTCCAGCAAACAAAAGTACACACGAATCATATGCTGTCAAGATGCACTGCACAGACCCTATTAATTATGATATCTTTTACATGTTCCTGTCACACATCAGTAGCACACAGCAATTTGCAGGCAATTTGCAGACTACGCAAAACCTGGTACAGCTTTTGGTCCGTTAACCCAAAACAAGGCAAATGTAGAGTGCTTTCACGTTTCACTGGGAACATTTGTACAAAACTCTGGTCCAGATGCCAGTTCAGAGCACAGTACTTCTGAAAACTGAGCAACTGAAACACTATAATCCACTGTAGCTCTGCAATGTTTGAACACACAGACAGGCTTAACAGTGCCCGAGGAAAGGAGCTGAATTTTGCCCTTTGGAAGCTCGTTTGCTGCCATGAAGGGACATGGGAAGAGGAAGTGATTCTTGGTCAATGCTTCAGTGTTTGTTGGTAGTTAACGGGGGAAAAGAGAAGAATACAGTCATCTGGATTTTCCATCTGACAGGTGAACATGGGGAAGGATCACTGATATTTGCTTCTGAAGTATCAACTTGTTTCAGCCATGGCTTCTTTTTTTCCTGTGTCCTCAGTCCTTCAGAACACCAAATTAGGTCTGAAGTTTTACCAGTCATGGAATGGTCACTTCTTAGCCCTTCCTTGCACTTAACCTTGCTTGAAACAGACCTAGACCTCCCATGTTTAGAAAGGGCATTTCTCATATGAGTTTGCATTGAACAGCATTCTTACCTGAGATAAATTTATTGGCATCAAGCAGAAATACCAAAATGGCATTATACTTCTGGGAGCTAAATGTATAATTATAATTCTGCTAATCTGTTCTATGATGCAATTTTCAAGAGCCACTGAGCATGAGGTCATTCATGCCTCATCTTACTAAACAACCTGAAATTCTTTTCCTCAAAAAAGGGGAAAAAAGAGAAAATATTCATACATACATTTCCATTAAACAACTCTATTTCCCCACTTTCATACAGAATTATAACCCTTTTGGTGCACTTTTCTCCAGTGAAGCCACAGCCTTCATTTGAAATTAGTATCCGGAATGTCCCAGAGTCATCCTTGCAGAAATCCTATCAGATGAAAATAAATTAATGAGTCATTAGTGTGGAACATTTGAAAAACACATATAGATCTATAGAGAAAAAGAAAGCCTCAAATAATACCCTGTGTACTCTATGGCCAGTAAGATATATGTTGGCATGACAACTGTTCCTATATTAATTTTTTTTGTCCTTAGTGTTGATATTCATCCAGTTCACACTTTAAAGAATGAGGCCCACTCTGCCAGTGACACACACACACATCCATATTTTGCAGGGAGGATCCATGCTATTACAGTATCTGTGATATTTTAAAGATGGACAATGGTCACAGTGTACATCGTAACACGCATATATTGATTGAATTAACAGTGTAAACAAGACTCTGCAGCTTTAATGATAAAATAACAATAATAAACCTAGAAGGTTATGGTAGAAAGAAGGTTTAGAAATAAACTTGCTGCACAGTTTGGAGCAAAATGTTTGATGCCCATGTTTTCCCACTTGTACATGTATAATAATTACAATAATGTCAACCTGTTTCTTGGGGAACAATTACATCATTTAATGTAATTTTAAGTCAAATATTTCTGAGATGTGTGGAGAGTTAATACTCCATTTATATGATGGCTCATGACTATGAAGCCTTTTAGGGGTTTTAGGGTTTTGTCAGTACACACCTTTTAAGAAAAAGACCCTGCCTCTAGTTCTCTGTGTTTGTCATCATCAGAAAAACACATCTAATTTTAATTTAAAGTAGTTTTGTAGTACTGTATGCTAATACCGCCATAAGACCTTTTCACAGAGCTCTCACTAATGTCAGAGCAATCCTTTTTCTGAGGTAACCCAGCTGGCATCAAAGTGGGAGCATGTTTCAAAGACCTAGCCAGAGACATGTTGATCATACTTTCCTGCTCAAGGAGAACTGCAAGGAGGAACGGGCCTCATGAAAAAAGCCTATGTGGAAAAAAGTAATCCACCCAAGAAACACAACACTTTCTAACTGCAGAAGACTGTTGTTATCAATTAGCAGTGAATCCATCTTGAGTTAGACCAAATTTGCAGATAAATCCTTCTTTTGCATTTTTAATTACACAATGATTTGCATCTGAAGGTGAGCTTTAATCTTATTGAACACTCTAAATTTCTGTCTGCTCCCACAAATCACAGGCTGACATTAGAGTGCTAAGTTTTAACCATATTGGATATTGTCAATGTACCCAGACAGGTCGATGAATGGAACAGGACAGTGACTTTGCTGAAGTGGACAAGCAGAGTCTGTGCCCTGGACACATTTAGATAAGGTTCACCAAGCACTTCTGCTCTCAGTCAGTCAGACAGTAAGCCGTCTCGACAGGATAAAGCAGCTAGTGAAGAATGAGGAAAGATTGACTTATGGGTATATACAGTTCCTTGTTAGAGTTGAGATTCAGACAGCTCCTCTCCATGCCATGCTGTTGTCATATATGACTGCCAGCTAGACACATGATGACCTAACTCACTTACATAGAACACAATGCAGTCTTCATATTTCTCAAGGCATCTTTGAAGTCATCAATAAGCTCTAGTCTCCTCTACCATACATCTGGCTTTGCAATTAAGAAAACTTGGACTTCTCTCCTGGTGTAAGAAACCTTATACATTATCAGACAGCTTCTGTGCTTGACATATTCTTACCTGAACTAATACATATTGACAGTTTCCTGGAAACTTATATTTCAGTCCATCAAATGTCAAATAATGAGCTGTACCAATAACAGTGCACGTGCCATCACACAGATTTTTTGTGCATTCCCATTTTCGACCACGGCACACACTGTAACAGAGAAAACAAGTCACTGACAGTTGTAATTATTTCCAATGTATATAATAAGCAAGAGAATGCAAAGTGCTCTAGGCAAAGTGAAAGAGCAAAAAAAAGTTTCTGCCTCCAGGTGCTCATGATCTGAAGACTCTCCAAAAGACACACAAGGGGTGATAAGCTACTATTTTGCCACCTTCTGCTCTTTTTCCTGGGCCTGGGTCAGGAAGCAACCTATTGCAGATAAAACAAGAGCATTGTTCCCCTGTGTGTCTTAACCCGGATATTGCCTGCAGCTCTGTGAGGAACCTCTGCAGTTGTCTGTGCTGCTGTCCACCCTCAGGTATCTTTCCAGCAGATCCTCTCTGTGTTTGGTCTTGAGAAGGTGCTCTTAGAGTGCTCCATGGCTGCTGGAATCCTTTTCTAGGTAGAATTCCATAACTACATTACACTACAGTGCACCAGATGACAATCTCTTCCATTAACCCAAATTAGCATATGTTAACATCGGGTGCATAAATCCAAATAGTGCATTAACAAGTTAAGTGAATAAGGAATATGTTTATCTTTTTCTTACAAGCTGCATGTAGGAGTATGTGCTTTTTGAACCTCCCTATTAAAAAAAAGAGGCCAAGACAGAGCCTGCTGGAATATTTAATAATACTACTAGTATTTTATTTTGGGTATGCTGCTCTGCTCAAAGAATCCTTTCAGAAAAACAGTTTGATTACTCTCTAAGGACCATTACAGGTTAAATATGAAGCATATCATCAGCAACCCTGTTTTTATTTGCACTACTGTACATTTTTCCTCATTGGAACCCAAAACTGTACTAAATTTAATATCTAGCTGATGCCAAAGGACACAGGTTTACTCTAGTGAGCAACTTTCATAACTAAGTAACCAGGACTGTAATTCAGTCAGCCCAGTGGCTTTTGTTCACATTGTATACTTAAGTATAATACCCCCTCTCTCCAAAGAGGTCTCTGTGTTCTTAAATTAAATTCATTCTTCATGGTAGTTTATCTGACCTAGCAATTGGAGACATTTCCTCACAGTCTGACAAGAAAACAAATATAGATAGAAGTATTTATTCTTCTGTACATAGGTACCCATATTCATACACCTGAGGAATATTCATACATTCTGAGGAATGTTTTACAGTGTAATACTGTAAAACTGAACCAGAATGTCTGCCGTACAGGAGAATTCAAGTTTGGTGCCATAAAACAGGACCCCAACGTAATTCTCAAGTTATGCGACATGAGATGTGACAAGATGTGACAAGACACCTGATTATGAAAGGAGATACACCAGTAGATCCCTGCCTGTATAGTTTGCAAGTGATGTTGTCGAGGACACCTCCTAGACTTCCTCACAAGCACAGAATATGCAAAGAAAAAAAGGGGACATCCTGACATGGAGAGAAAAACAAGATGCTGCCTTGTGTATTTAGGGGGAGGGGAATTCTTAAGAGCAGACACAGGGTTAAGGTCTTTATATCATTACACACACATTGCTGTAGCAGCTCTACTGCATTGTCACTATCGTACAAAACCAGTGATGCCATGACGAAAGGGACTGCGTTCTTTCTTTTTGTTACACTCCTTCTTTTGCACTCTTTTTTGCCCTTTGGGTTTTTTTGGTTGTTTTGAGTTTTGGTTTGTTTTAAAAAACAAAGCAAAACAAAGAACACATGGTGACCATCTTTTGAGCAAACATTCAAAAGGCAAAGAAAGCCAATTCTCTTATCTTGGTGTAACTCAATTGGTTTCAATGTAATTATACCACTGTAATGGACAGAAGAAAAAATAGTAGGGCTCCTAGTCTTCATGATCACACCAAACCAGCCATATTCAACACCAAACTTTATTAAATTTCTGAGAGTTTCCCAGAACATTTGTATCCTTTCATTGCTGTGATACTTAATAATCTAAATCTTACATGGTACCCTTATAAATAAGGCTCGGAGAGGTAAATACAACTATCTCATGTTAAAACAAGGGAAAGGGGGAAATTGAGAAATAAAGAGACTTCTGAGCATCCAGCCAGACCCCTTGCTCTTTTCCAGAGGTATCCTGAAGAACCACAAGCCTTGCCACAGAAGCTGGTATGAAATGGGATCTTTCCCTTGGTATCTACAGGCTTTTGATCAGTGAAAGAAACTCATTTGTTAACTACCAGGAGACTGAGCAAACCAAACAAAAAACAAGGTCAATTAGGCATAAAATCTATTCATTCTTTTGCTTGTTATTATTTTTGGGGAGCTGGAATAGCATCTGACATCATATCTAATAATCTAATCTAGTAATAACGATGTAATAATCTAATAAGCAATAGCTTGATTGAGGTTGGAGAAACATTAATCTGCTAAGTGCTATATGAATGCAGATGGACATCATCACTGTCCCAGGGATTTTCTAACCAAGTTCTATATGAGCAGGGAAAGGGGAATTCTATCCCTGCTTTACAGATGTAAAAACTCAAGGATAAAAAACCTGAAGTACTTTCCCAAGATCAAGTTGCCAGCCAAAGGAAAACTGGGTACTGAATTGAGTTCTCTAGTAATGCCTTAACCCAAGAATAAGCATTGTTTAATCTTGGTAACACTTCACAGTATAATAAATATTGTGCAATACATTTTCTTCAGAGAATGACATTTCTGTAACATGGAACCTATTGCATCCACTGCTATCAAATCTCTGCTAATAGGTAGAGCTAACCCAAGATTTTTTATATATGTGCACGGACAGATTATAAAGTATTGGTGTAGCAAAATTCAGATTAGCAAATTTCTGCTGTGTACTGCTTCATAAATGTTATTTCAAAAGTTTCACTGAGGTCTGCAATGAATTCCCAATACATAGCATAACAAAAGTTTTGCCACTAGCTTAGACTTGGAGACATTCCGTTGGTCATGAATTAGGGTCTCCCATATGTCAAGTAGAATGTAAATGCCAAATCTGACACCTCTGTCTCATATATTGTATTTGCAGGTGTTCACATCTGGCTAAGAACAAGTGAGAACGAGAACTTCTGCAACAGCAGTACAAAAAGCAAAAACAAAAGAAAAAGGAAGATCTGACCTCCAAAATGCAGACTCTCAATTCTTATTAATTCTCAAAGCAATAGTAATTTCCTATATCACTTTCTAAATGACATTTGACTTGATATTTGCTGAGAACTATCATGAAACTTTTCAAAGTCACATAGTTCAAAAAAGCTCCAGTGACATTTTTGAAGGGACCTTGTCTCTAATTTTACTTTCACATTCAAGAAAAATACCTAAAATGAGAGGAATAACTTTTTATCAATGAGGAAAAGCATGATTTCTAACATTTTCTTGACCCTGATATTGAAGAAAATTCGATGTATTAGAGGAAATGTCACTTAAAATGGCATTGCCAGAAACAAAAGGGCAGTTAGGAGAGTGTAGCAACATGGTTATGGCTATTTTAAGATAGAAGATTATAAGAATGACTGAAAATAAAAATACTGAGTACAGTTATTGCAAAGAATCTTGCAAATTTCAAAGCACCTAGGAGTTTTACACTTCACTGTTCTTGTTTCAATACAACTTTCATTGTGTCTGTTTTTCAGCTGAGTCACTTTTACCTAGATGCAACACAAGCAGGTTATAGTATATGTATGTATATTAAAATATCAATTTTTTCTCCACCTTCCACCCTTCAAACCTACTTTTCCACTGGTCTAATTGTAGCACACGATTCATAATGTAATATGTAGCTGCAAAGAAAAAAAAAAAAAGGCAAAACAAACCAAAACAAAACCAAAAACACTGGAAGGTCAATATTTCCATATAAAACCATAAAACCTCATACCCACATCTAACTTACACTAGCTAGGAGCAGTCCCACTAGAATAAAAATACAACACTTGAAATCACTGTTGCTCAAAGATCAATGCATAACACAAAAAACAAACCAAATGACTCCTTTATGGTGCTGATTCTCTGATCCAACTCTACCCAGTCATAGAGAGGATAACAGAAACATTGCTCCTGGGGGTGCCACAGAGCTGGGCAGGAACAGTCCAGGTAAAATGTAAGAGAGATCCTGAAGTCTAAGTTCAAAGAGAACAGTTTCCACACTGCTGGTGACTGGATGTCCTACAGCTTGGACTCTTGGAGCTCGACAGGAAAGGGCCACTGTTCCCTCCAAAAGCACACATGGAGAGCAAAGCATCTCTCCAATGCAGCAAACACGCTGTGCAGGCAGAAGCCAAGAACTGTCCACCAGGCAAATATACCTTGCCTGAGGCTATGCCAAGGGCATCCCTCCGTGCAAATCTCACAGCCCAGCACTTTCTTTTGAACTTGCAAATTCTTCTTCAAGAATCAAACATGATAGATAGGGATGTGGGTGAAAGACACAGAGCACTTACTCTTCTTCTAAGAAGATTATCACCAACTCCCCCTGCCCTTTCCTTCTGCCTCGTTCTGAAGATATCAAGAGTCTGAGTGCTCGTGTGAGGTATAAGATGTCAACTCTGTTTTCTGCCTGATTCAAACTCCTCTTCAACATTTTCCTGAAGAGCTCCTGTCATATTACAGCTGGCACATCACACCCTTTCTGCTGACGCATGCTTCTGGATGGAAGGGACTGACTGAAGGGCCCCATACAGCAAAAAAAGGGGAAGCATGACTGCAGAGTTTAGCAACAAGATGCAGGCTCCATTCCTCCCATCCCAGAGGAGCTCCTACATTGTTACGTTGTGTTGCAAAATTAAGGAGCAAATCAACTAGCTATATTGGCTACAGAGGACCTGCACAGACACGTAGACTACCTATTTGTAAGGTACCAGGTACAGTTTGCCAGATATTGCACTGGTCTTTAGGCAACATGCAAAGGGAACATGCTTGTCTGTGCCATATGTGTGTTACTGCACTGCAAAACATGACTTTTTATAAAATAGATCTGTCAAGCAAACAATATTCGGTCTTATTAGAAACAAGTCAGGTGCCCTAGAGAAATACAGAAAAATGCATTTCCAGTGGCTCACCAGGTGTTGCAGTCATTAGTCACTGTTTCTCCCTTGGCATATTCTCTTCCATTGTGAAAACATGGGCATCTCTCAGGAGCAACACACTTGTTTTCATGTCGCACCTAAGCAAAACACACAGTTTGTCAGCATGCAGGTCTGTTGATGTGTGCCAATATACAGAGGAGTAAACACAAGAATAATGGAAAGGATAGAGGAAATGGTTCAAGACTATCTGAAGTAAGAAAGGTTCAGCACTGCTAATATTTTTTCTCATTAACATAAATAGAGGTATGGGTACATAAATCACAGTCTTGTTTCAGGGGCTGAACACCAGCTTAAGCTGCAGGAAAAATAAATTAGGTTATAGAAAAATGTCACAATAAGAAAGTCCAAATTGACCAAAACCAGGATGCAATGAAGATAAAACAGCCTAATCCGAATACAGAGAGTGGGTGAACAGCACATGCTTCTCACACACAACAAAATGAAGGATGGTGTACCAGAAAAGCAGCCATATGCAGCACTAAGTAAATGAAGATTCAGTTGCCACAGATGACACACCCCAAAAAAAGTCCACCCCCCTGTCAGCTCACCTCTGAGGACTGCAGTAGTCACTCATTTTATTTTAAATGCCTACTTACTCCCTAGAAGGTAGGATAAATATCAGTCCACTTGAGACATTATTCCATTCTCACAGGCTCTGTCACTGGGAAATAGGTCATTATGTTCTGTCTATAATTTTTATTTTTCAGTTTTACCCTATTGATTTTAGTTTCTCTTTGTATAACAACAACCCACATGCCCCACTTAAAACAAACCAAAAAAAAAAAAAAAATCAAAAAACAAGTAATGCCTTAAGTCCACTCAGGGTTTCCACTCAGTTTCTCTGTTTGTTTTTTTTTTTTTTTTCTGTGATTACTCCTTTTCCATTTTGAAGACAACCAGTTTTAGAGAATCAAAAAAAACCAAGGCCAGCTATGCTGCTTTTCACTTGGATGTGGCTCTGCAAAGACAGGGATAGGTTTGGCTCTTCCTTCATGGAATAACAAAATGGAGAGCACTTCCCCTCCTTCTCATTCAAAAGTCACAAAATATCACCTTCCCACTTTAAACTCTTTCTGTAAAATCATTAAAATACTTTATTTTTTACCATTACATACGGGCCAGTGAGATCAATGTACAGTCTGAACGCCAGGTTAATAAAGTAGAACAGCTCTGTCTTTCCCTCTGTGGACCTAGAACTGCCACAGGGAACTACTAATAAAAAGGATTTCACAGCTCAGAGACCCTTCATTCATATGTAGCTCCACATGCTCCGTGGCGCTTAGAGAGCTATATAATGCCAAATAAACTCATGCCGATAGAAGCAAGATGGAAAAAAATAAATTCTTTTCTAGATAATAGAGCTGGGGCTCTGCCTCAGCCTTAATCTCCACAAAGGACGGGGAGAAAACAGGCCAGAGAGGGCCATATGTTTTCAAGACTATTTAATTCCTTCCTTCCTTCCTTCCTGGTGGCATTCAGGAAAAAAGCAGTATATGACTTCACTCTCATGGCTACAGTTCTGAATTTTTCCATGGTGTTAAGCTACGCAGGTCACAAGAGACTTGAGGGCTAGCCTCTGGATACAAAATTTTGGATTAGACGTGTGGTTAGTGGAAGGAGGATTAGGACCTCTTCTACTTGCTCCCTCACACATCAACATGAAGGAAGTCAAAGCCTATCCCCAATTCTAAAAACTGAATAGACTGGTATTAATATTTCTGTCACAAATGTCTGGCTATCATGAAGCTACAGTGCAGCAACCGGTAACCCACTGACAAAGGTGGAAGACTACCTTGCCTGAACACTACAGAGCAGGTGGTTGGGATTTAGAAAGCTGGACATAAGTACCCAAAGTGGAATTTGACCACAAGACTAATTATTTTTGCTGCAAAACTCAATGGATTATGATTTTGTTAATAGTAACACACAATCTACTGGTCAAATTGATACCACATCCAAAAACTGGTATATCTGGCAGCCCGATGCCATGCTGTGTGACAAGTCTGTTGAGCGCAGCACCATATGGTACTACTGGGCTAGGGACATTATTCACAACCAGCTGGATTTTCTATGGAAGCCTCTCAATCCATCAATAGATAGCACTTAATACAGGAGATCTAACAATCCTGAGTGCCTGAGGTGATGGGAGGCATAAATGTTGGGGAGGGAGCCACAAGAAAAGACACAGGTTTCTAATGAGAACAGCTGCTGTTCACACCATCTCACATCTGTATGATGATGCTCCTAAGAGCGCGCCCATGGGTTTATAAGTGGTTGACTAGCTGATGAAGCTACCCCCTACTCGGGGATCTGACAGAAAAGTCCATAATTTCCTTGCTCTGTCTTATTAATTGTTAAGCCTTGACAAACCTTGCAAAAGGAAGGACAAATTTCAGAAGCTTGAAGATTCTTCTCCCCTAAACTCTGTCTTGATGAGGTTGAATTTTAATCTCTCTTGATCAACACAATTTTGATGAGTATCTCTCTGCCAAGGGAAGCTCAGATTTTCACTCTTTTCCTCCTGATACACCTGAGGGCTTCAGCACAAAGCCAGACAAAGGTAGAAAGGAGTAAGAGATTAAGTACAGGACAGATTAGAACACAATAGCAGATATATTTTAAATAAAACAGCCTGTCACCATTTCTGTGCAGACAAAGACAAGTCAAAAACTTGTTAGGGCAGACCACTCAACATGTGCTGGTTTACAGTTGGCTTTCTTTCTTCTGTTAGCTATATGCTTCTTATGTTTGTTTGATGAAGCATTATCCTTGGGCAGATGCACATACCAGAAAGCTGGTACTCATCTCTTCACGAAGACTTTGTCATGTTAAATATGATAAGCCTACACTGAAGAATATAGAACAGAGCTAGCAGGAAAATCAAAATAGAACTCTTAAGTATCTGCTGAAAACACTTTGGAAGAAAAAAATTCTTTCAAACTTTTCTGATTAAAATGTTTAGGCTTTGTTTTCATTTTTCCACTAACATATCATAGTTTTAGAAATAGTTCTATTTCATCAGCCAGAATACAGTAAAATGTTTCATTTCCATTTTAAACCTTAATTTTGCTTCAGTTGTTGGAAATTGAAATAAATTATTTTCTAGTTTTGAAGTGTCTGGATTTTATGCTTTCTGATTTTTCTGCTCCCTCTGTTTCCCCAGAAAGGTGGTTAACACTCCATTTGTATATTTATTAATATTTTCCAATGGGAAAAACCTGGAGTGCAGTAAACTAATCTGAGAAAGCATATTTTTCCCCACACTTCTGCACATATGTTATGATTTATCTTTTCTTCTCTGGAAAAGGGTGACAAGTACGGAGAATTTCCCACCCTTCAGATGATCAAAGACAGAAAAAGAAGAATTACTTTTCATGATATATTGAACACTTTTATTTTCAAGAAATCAAAACAATGTAAAATACTAGGTCAAGATGAACTGGAAAACTTATTTTTCAGTTGAAAGAAATAAGTTTTTGTCTGTCTTTTCTGACTGGGGAAATAATTAATTGATTGATTGGCAATTTCTCACCTCAGCAAGTTTTCCAATTCAAATCTAGGCAACTGCAGCATCACGTTCATGGACAATCCTTGATTACTGTTTTTTATTATTTTCAGATATGTCTTTCAAAATTGTCTGGCAATTTGCACATACAGATTTTAGACTATGGATTCCTCTGTTTAGGACTGATAACTCAGCTAACTGATTTGTAAGCATCTCTTTATATACATAGGGATAACATTGCACCTAATTACATATTAACTACTATATATACTTGCAAATTATACTGGAGAGTTGTTTATGTAAGCTACAAATTTTTGACTGTGTTTCTTGATAGTAAGAACAATTTCAGAGAAGCAAGAAGATTTTTTTTGCTAATAAGCTACCCTTACTAGTAAGTTAAGCATAATTTTTGTATGCTACTATCCCACAAAAGAAAAAATCTTCAGCAAAATATCACAATTTCTTCCAGAGTGATGATACGTGTAAATATTTGCTCCCATATTCAGTAATCTGTTACTTTCCACAGACATTCCGACAAGCAGTAGCTCACCTCTGTGAGTGCTTGTAAATTAAGCAGGATTACAGAGCACCAAGGGAGGCTGACAGGTAAAAGAAAAAGTAATAACTTTTTCCAGTCCCTTTATTGCTCAGCTCTGTTGGTACAAGTCTGGAAAACACAGACTTCATGACTTTTCAGTGATTTCCCTTAGTGTGCCCAGAGTCTTTAAGGTAGAGAGAGGCAGGATGGAAAGGAGAACCTGGTCACCACACCAAATCCTTTCATCTTTGGCAACTGATACTGGAAGCACATTGCAGAATGCAGAAATAAGAAAAGGGGAAGAAAAAAAAAAAAAAAAAAAAGGGCAAAAAAAAAAAAAGCCTCACCCAAACCACCCTGGTTAGATACCTATTGGTGATGAGGAGGAACCTGCTCTTTGACAACAAGCTGGCAGGTCCCGTGGAGCCACACACCAGGAGTCTAACGCTTGGCAAAGGGCACCCACATAATGAAAGCGCTGATCTTGATCCTGCCTTTGCATGGCCATGCTTACAGCAAAATCGTCTGCTTTGAGAAACGCAAATCTCACAACCTCTATTCCCTGCCAGACAGGAAGCCAATGAGAACAAGTAATTATAGACCAAGTTTACTGGAAGATTGAACCATACTGTCATCTAGCGGACAAAGAACTTATTTTACTATTTTTTTAAAAAAATCCTGGGCCCGATTCTTCTATGCAAAACCTGTCAGACCATCTTGTTGAATTCAGGGGCATGTTTCACGTCACTGCAAAGGCAACTGGAGTTTCCAGTTCCAAAATGCCAAAGATTGCTTCTCCTGGCAAGAATTTAATGAAACATTTGTTTGAATGCTAGTTCCAGTCTACTGAAAAGGAATATGAAATTCTATACTAGATGGGAAGGTTAATTACGAGGAAGTTGATTTGGGGGAGTTTTTGGTGGGGTTCCCCCTCCCCCATTTTTTTTCCCTGTTGAGTAGTTATCATAATTTGTTTTCTGTTATTATCTCCAAAGTGTACTATTACCATATCCTGGAACTGAAAGCAAATCTCAAGCCCCTTCACCAAATGAAAGAGATCTGATTGTTACGTACAATGGAAGACCTGCTCACACTGGAGCTCTTGGAACTTTACAAATACACAAACTTTTCTAAGTCTACTTATCACACTACTATTTAGGAATATTCTTCTCTAAAAGGAAAGGCATTTTAAAACTGAAAAGTGAAAAGAAGATACACTTGTTTTAAAACTGTGGTGAAAAATTGATCAATGTTGATATGAATGCCTTCAAATTATAGTCTGTATTTTTCACTTCAGACCTACCTCATAGTTCACAAGCCTGAGATTTTGTCTACAGCTGGCATTTTGTTCTGCAGTAGCATCTATTTACATAAATGTGTGTTTCTCAGAAAAATATGGTAGCAAAGTTCAAAATAATACATTAATATTAATGCTAGAAATCACTTGTGTTACGAGAATTCTAATTTTTTGTTGTTTCAAGTAAGGCAATGGAAGGAATCCTGAGGGAGAAAACATCAGTATTCATACAGATGCAGAAAAAACAACACACCTTTGTAAAAATACATGGTCACAGGGAAAGCTAATTGCTTTTTAAAATGGAATTTAAACTAGTGGATGAAGTCAAGTCATCAGAGCTGAAGCCTAAACATAAACATGCATCTCAGCCCTAGAAGTAATAACTCACACCTTCATTTGCTAACTGTCGAAGTCCTGACCAGTGCGTATTAATCTGAGCCTGCACCTTGCACATGTATAAAAGAGAAAGAAAAAAAGAAAAAGAAAACAAAACAAAAAAAACCTAATCTTTTGCATTTCTAGACTTCCTGGGTTGCAGCATTTGAAAACATCTTGGTTTTCTATGTGCCTCTCTGAGTCAGAAAACTGCACCAGCATGTCTCTAAGTCCCACAAGTATAAAATAAAGTCTCACAATTGCAGAGTATCTGATCCCTCAAACAAAATAAAGACAACTTCCATTATCTTTTTCAAGCATCTACCAGGTATTTTCATCTGCATTTCATGCACTGAACATCACAAACTTCTTACTCCCGGCAATTTTCCTAGACCAAGAACTCAAAAGTGCCATGTACTTAACTTCATAAAGAGTGTATGTACCCTGTGCTCCACCTCTATCCTATTCACGCGATGTCTGGGACTATAACCCCAGCCCCCAGTGAGATCCTGCGCACAACTCTTCGCCTGCTCAGAGTGTTGCACAGCACTGAACACTGATGCTTTTTTTCTATTGCTCAGAGAACAGCAGCAATTTGCTGTCTATTCTACTCCATCTGCTTTTTGGCAGGACTCTAAATTGACATTGAGCTCATAGTCACCGTCTTAGCAAATAACTATTTGCTATTTTGCTTTATTTAAAAATTACTAAACTAATAATTAAAATAAGGGTTAGAGGGGAACATAACCCTGGACTACAGAAAGCATTTTACCAGTGAAAAAAGCATGCTCAGCACACCATCTGGAACTCCAGGACACCCTCTGGCACCATCTTAGCAAGTTTTGTGTCCCACGTTCCCTCTCATAGGGAGCTCTCAGTTTGATACAACACACAGGAAGGCAGCAGCAGAGATAGAGACTCAACAAGGAGGCAACTAGTATCAGCAGGAGGGTTTGGCTGGATGTGGGGTGGGTATTTGGGGTATGGGTGCCTGTGTACTTCTGTCTCTCTCACTAGGGAAGTTCAGCAAGACTGAGGAGGAATTTGGGAGAAGAGTTGAAGGAAAATATGAGTTGGTATTTAAAAAAGTGGGTTTAGGCTTTTTGATTATTAATTATTATTACAAGCTAACCTTCATCTTCTGTCCAGATACACTAACATACATATTTTAAATCAGCCACAATATTTCACAACTGCATATTCCCAAGCCACAAGAATACTGCTGGTAGGAAAAAATGAAGGCAAGAAAACAAAAAGGAACCTGCTTACCATCCCTTTCGGACAGAGGCATCCAGATATGCAGCCATGGCTGATGCATTCCAAGTCATAATTCTGGCAAGTCTTCGCACACTCCAACCCTTCAGCTCTTGGGTTGTTTGCAGGGCAGACAAATCTTTCCATGGGGGATCTGCATGTTAAGCTCCTTCTTACTTTAAAAAATAAATTTACAAAAAATGCAATTAGAACTCAAGTATTGTTAGGACAGTAGTTTTCTAAAGGATGGATCAACATTTTTAATGGAAATCTAGTTTAGGATACAGAATGGAGCAACGTCACTACACCGCTATGCATGACATCGTAAAGGTAACAGTCCCCACTTCCCGTGAAATGACCTCAGGCAGGCTATCATAAAAGCACATATTCTAATACGTAAGCAAAAGGAGATGCACAAGAGTTCAACCCCAGACTGAACTAGGGCTACAAGCACACTTTAATGTGAAACATATTTCAACCTGTAAGTAGTGTACACTAGCAATGTCAGCACAAAATCAATGTTCTAAGAAGCAACAGCACCATATATTATTGTGTTTAGACTAATTTCCAACATGGAGTATAACTACATATGTGACAGTTAAAACAATGCCCTTTGCTTAAACACAAGCTCTTGAGAACTCCTGTTCTGATAGAAGATCCGGATTTCACAAGAAACTCGGGGTTATTATTTCAAGGAATGCTAGAAATATGCCTCTCTGGGGTTTTGTAAGTCTTAATGCACTAGTTATGTCTTAATAACATTACAGCAAGAGTTCTGTGAGATATACACTTAGAAGGTTTCACCAAAAGCCAGTGAGGGCCAACCAGTGAAACCACTACTGGTGGTCTACCAAGACCCCCTCTCCCATCACAATCGTGTAAACTCCATCCATATATCAGTGGTGAACCTCAAAAAATCCCAGACCACTGATGTCCTATTCTCCAATGCAGTGCCTAGCTCTGTAAGGCAGTTGTTAGTCTCTGGGGGGTTTTACAGTGAGATGCCTTCTGGCTGGAGGACACACTCAGTTCCTGGCAGCACCCTAACCTTCAAGCCACAAAAAGCTTTATCTGCACCAGAAAGGAGAGCTTGCAACCTGCTAGTCAGAAGCAGGAAGTATACAGCTGGCTAGTTACCGATGTTGTGTGACCCTCAAATAGCAACTGGGGGCCTCAGATCACCACCAAGGGAGCCCTTAACCTCCTCAGCTAAAGAGAGACTGCAGTGGCTAACTATAATTTTGAGAGGTGAGACACAAGGAGCCCTGTGCCCTCCCACGCAAACATTTTGATTCAATTCTGCAACAAAAAAAGAGTTAGAAAAAGACTCACATCACCAGCCAGTGCAACCTCTGGTACTGTTTAGAAAAAGACTCACAACATCACCAGCCAGTGCAACCTCTGGTACTTCTTCCCTATTCTAGATTACAAAGAGACTGAAGAGGAAAAAAAAAATCAGAAAAAGTAATAATTTTTTAAGGCATACTAACTTCTGGCAGATGGCCTCCCATCCGTGAAAACATCTGGCAGGAAGGCACCAGGAGCTCTGTTTGTGCTGCAGTGCATGAAACCGTTTTCACAATAGCTAGGAAAAACAAATAGAGCTTATATTTAACAAAGTAACGTTTTACTTTCACTTACACTGTTGTTTTCAGACAGGCCCTCAGGGAACTTTGGTCAGAATACCAAAATTACACCTCTCATTGGGACTGAGCTGTTGTTCTCCATCCACTGTGTTTATTAACCTTAAAAGCAGACCTTCCTTAAGATAGCTGCAGTGATATACTAGCATGGTAACCTAGCTGTATGCTGAATCCAATGCATCTGCACAGGCATAAACCTGGGCAAGATAATAGTCAGTTTTTCTGTGGAGAGAAGTATGTGACCACTTAGTGCCTGCAACTTATGACTTCTGTGATAGAGGAGAAAAGGAGAAAACACTGTTCCCAAAACTGGGCTTGCCAGGAGCCACCAGCAATTACATTCCTACTCTCAGCGTACCGCTACTCAATTTAACAATTAGAAATGCTTTTTTAATATTTGTATATTTGATAGAAGTAATTGGGTTTTGGCATTTAAGAAATGTATCTCAGTATGTTAAAGTGACATTTTAAAAGCCTACAAAGTAGCTACTGTCAGTAATTAAACTCCATTTCAAACTGGTAACAACTGTTCATGGAACAGGGCTAAGTACTGTTTTCTAAAGTGGCATCTGAAATTATATGGATAGAGACGCAACAGCAAAACTCACCATTTGTTCTTTTAGAGACAAAATCTTGCCCTCTTTTGAACTAGTTTCAGTGGAAGCAAAGGAACTGAGGAACTGAATGAGTTAAGAACCACTGGGGCTATCCAAAATCTGAGTCACAACGTGCAGGGGTGAGTTATGAACATTGCACTTTTGCACTTACCACATCATGTAATGATCTGAAAAGACATCCTCTGGCTGGAAGATCTCACCGTCATAGTAACAAGGGCAGTGGGACTTTGGCACACACTGCTCACGCTCATCTAGGTAGTGCCCAGGAGGACAGTAGCATCCTTCCACACAGAGTTCATCACAGTCCTCATCTGGGTAGGACAGAGATCTGCAGGTCTGGTTGCACGGTGTCCCACACTGCTGGTACACTTGGCCTTCAGGACAGGTCATTGCTGTTGAATATTATGCACATCAGGGAGACTGGCATTTAATCCAAAGCCAACTAAAGCAAAAGTTGCCTAAACCAGACTGGGAAGCTGGGGATTAAAATGTATTTACTCAATTTACTCACTGATGAAGGCCTGTATTACACTGTCTCTTCTTAACTCCGCAGCACCAGTGAAGCCTAGGGCACTACTTATATATACACACAAATAACCTTACTACGTGCAGTTCCCAATAAATGCTGGGATTGGATTGCAACCCATGCAATGTAAATCCATTCTCAAAACTTCATCCAGAATGAAAAACACAGGCTCTGTCCAACCTCTGTTATTACTTGTATCTACAAGTTAGGAGCATCACAAGTGTGATGTACACGTTCACCCTTCTCTTCCTTTGCAACATGGTTAGGGACAATTTGGTCAAAATAAGTAGAAATGGAGGCTTCTGCCTTCGTAAGCAGGTGCTGCAATAGTTTAAAGCCTCACATCCCAGAAGCTGTCAGTGATTTCTGTGGAAACAGGTGTAAATAATGAAGTCATTTAGTGATCATGGAGTGAAACCTTGGGTACTAACGATTTTTCATGATGAATTCACTTTTATGGAGACCAGATTATGGCCTTTGGAGCCATTTTGGCTTCTTCATTTATGAAACTTCCACTTAGTTCTACAGCGCTGCTTTTGAGGCAATCTCCTCTGTGTACATCAGCATCGGCACCAGGTGGCAGCCATGACAACACATTTCAGAAGACGCAAAACCAAGTTGGTATTATCAACGGCTTTTAACAGGCCTCCGGATAAGCCGGGTTTACAGAACCTGTCGTTTGTAAGCAACCTTCCAAAGCAAACGGCCAGAGCTGTAAGGTAATGAGGTAGGATGTTCCTCGGAGTGAGGGAAGCAGCTGCAAATAAATGTTGGCACACTTGTACTGTGCTAAAACCAAGATCAAGGGATTACAGAGAAAGCTCTTCCCCTTGTCATCCCTCCAGAATGATCGGATAATCCCTACCCTCTCTTCTCTGAGCACACACCCCTGGGAGCTGTAGCAGCATTGACCGTAAAAGAAAAACTACAGCAAGGCTACAGCTCTGCAGCCTCACCCAGCTGCTAGCAAAGCTGAACTAACACGGAGGCTAACAAATCAAGTACATGCTTAACAACTTCTAACGGTTACCTTCACAAAAATATTCTGAACTGAAGAATTACATCTACTTACTGAAGAGAGGCATGCTCACATCATCATTAGGTGGGTTAGCTGGGAGGTACACAAAGAGGCTGTCCAAGCAGCCAGGGATCAGGTTAGGAAAGCTAAAACCTGGATAGAATTAAATCTGGCCAGGGACATGAGGGGGAACAAGAAAAACTACAAGTATATTGGTGATAAAAGGAAGACTAGGGAAGATGTGGGCCCTCTCCAGAAGGAAACTGGAGACCTGGCCATGAGGGATACAGAGAAGGCTGAGGTGCTCAATGACTTCTTTGCCTCAGTCTTCACCGGCAAGGGCTCTGGCCACACCGCCCAAAATGCAGAAAACTAAGGTAAGAACTGAGAGAAGGAAGATCTGCCCCCATAAGTGAAGATAAGGTTCGAGACCATCCAGTGAACCTGAAGGTGGACAAGTCCACGGGCCCTGATGAGACCCATCCACAGGTCCTGAGGGAACTGACAGATGAAGTTGCCAAGCCAATATCCATCATATTTGAAAAGTCATCGCAGTCTGGTGAAGTTCCCACTGACTGGAAAAGGGGAAACATAACCCCCATTTTCAAGAAGGGCAAAAAAGAAGACCTGGGGAACTACAGGCCAGTCAGTCTCACCTCTGTGCCTGGCAAGATCATGGAGCAGATCCTCCTGAAGGCTCTAATAAGGCCCATGGAAAATGAAGGAGGGGTGATTGGTAACCAGCATGGCTTCATCAAGGGCAAATCATGCCTGACAAACCTGGTGGCCTTTTATGATGGAGTTATGGCATCAGTGGACAAAGGAAGAGCAACTGATGTCATCTGCCTGGACTTCTGCAAAACATTTGACACTGTCCCGCACAACATCCTGGTGGCCAAATTGGAAAAATATGGATTTGATGGATGGACCACCCACTGGATAAGGAATTGGCTGGATGGTC